GGAGCCCCGCCCCCAGGCCTCCTCCCGCAGCCCCAGGAGCCCCGCCCCCAGCCCCTCCTCCCGCAGCCCCGGGAGCCCCGTCCCCAGCCCGCCTCCCGCAGCCCCAGGAGCCCTGCCCCAGCCGCCCGCGTCCGGTTGCGGCGCCCCCCGGAACGCACCCGAGAAGCCGGTGAGGTCCATCGCTTTGAGGTTAGAGGCTTTGATGATGGTCACTGTGAGGCGCCCGGCCGTGGGGAGGTAGCAGAGTGAGAAGTTGAGCTCCCCCAGATCTGCCTTTTCCTGCAATTGGGGAAAGTTCAGCGACGCCCTGCCCCGGTCTCCCCTGGCACCCTCCCATCTGGCGCCTCCAGCTCTCCTCTGTGATTGCAGGGGCTCAGCTTTCCACGGCACTTAACGATCTGACTCTGGGCCGAACCTGGTAACTCCCTGGCCACAGCTGCCCACCCCTGGCAAAGTCGGTTTGTTCTGCAGGGAACACTGGACAAGACGTGAGTGGGGGGCCAGTGAAAGAGGGAGAGGGAGACAGTGGTGGGAAACAGTCTGTGACAGAGACCAGGGCACTGAGAGGGACAGAAAGACAGAGCTGCAGAGTTTTACGGTAGGAAGGACCCAGCGGGGGAGCATGAAGACCTGGAGAGTGACAGGGGCCCAGATGAGAGAGAGAGATTCCAGAGGGGAGGTGCAGAGAGCAGGTGGGGGACCGCGGGTGGGGGGTGGTCGGAGCCCCCCAGGGTGGGAGGTCTGGCGGGATAGCAACAGAGACTTGGTGGAGCCCCAGAGAGGGACATAGGCCCAGAAAGGGCGGGCAGGGCAAAGACCTAGGAAGAGAGTCGGGGGCAGAGATCCTGGAGAACTACACAGAGAGGACGTGGGTCTTAGGGAGGGTAGGAAGTGCCGAGACCCAGAATGAGACCCCCCCACACCGGCACACACAGACCCGGAGTGGCCAGCAGAGCAGGCTGGGCCTCCACCCTGCCCTGCCCGGCCTCCGGCCGCACTGGCTGAGGCCCAGGTCCCTGGACTCGAGGCCTTGCCCAGGCTGTTCCCTCTGCTTAGAAGCCTCCTCCACTTAGCTGTCGCCTCCTCCCAGATCCCCTACAGCCCTAAGCCCATGCTCCTTCTGCATGTCCCCGTAAAGCTGGCCCTTGACAAGCTGTGTGAGAACCTAGACCCAGAGCTCCCAGGGACTGTCTGGGGTCCCGGGGTCCTGATCCTGAAAAAACAACGACAGTTGTTGAAGAAATGAATGAATCACAGAATAAGTGAAGCCCCTGAGTGATAATGAAGGGGAGGAGAGAGAGAGTGACAGACACCAGGAGACAAAGATGGGTGCAGGGAGTGGGGTTCGGCGGGATGGACCAAGGCCCTGGGTATGAAGCCTGGAACTTGGCACTCGGTTCTCAGAGGCTGCGCTTTGGGGGCTGAGCAAGCAGGCTGGGGAGAGCTCCAGGAAGGGGACTGTAGGAAGAGCCATAGGCACCCAGTTCGATGATGTCATCACGCATACGGGGAAACTGAGAATCAGAGCAGAAGGCTCAGTGAAGGGCATGGCCATCAGGTGGGCAAAGCCAGCCCTCTCTGACATGAGCACAGGGCTCACTCGCCCAGCACACACACAACTATCCCGCCCTGGCAGAGAGCTGGAATGCTGGGAAACCACCGACTGGAATCCAGAGGGCGGAGGAGGTGGGGGCCTGAGGTTTGGGAGTATGGAAGGGGTCGGGAAGGGTCAAACAAGCACCTAGGAGCTGGGCTGAGGGAGGAATTAGAGGCACAGGAGAATGAGGCTCCAGAGGGTGGGGGTCACAAGAAGAGAGGAAGGGTGCCAACAGTGGGTGCTGGAAGCTGTGGGCCCTGCAATCTGGAGGCTGGGAGATTGGGGGGTGTTAGGTTATTGGGGATCCCAGTTTGCCTACGGTCTGGGGGAATCAGGCTATTAGGATTCGGGTAGAGACTGTGAAGAAACAGAGGATGAGATGATTAGAGCATTTGAAGGTCACGGGTTTGAAATGTACAATGTCAGAGGTCAGTAAGAATGGGGGCTCAGAAAGTTTGGGAACTGTCAGGAGGTTGGAAGATGAAGGAAGCCAGAAAAACAAAGGCCAGGAATTCTGGGGTCAGAAAGTTGGAGGGTCAGGAATCTGGGGTCAGAGGGCAGAAGTCATGGGGTCACGGCATGAAGTTATGATAAAAGTGGCTGGTGGGTACAAGGGTGTCTATTATAATTCTCTGGATTGTTACCACTAGATGTCAAAGGGGGTCAGAAGTTAGGAAATCTGGGGCCCAGGCACAGTATTAGTATTTGCCAGTGGCAGGGGGAAGGGAGCCCATTTATAGCCTCCTCTATACTTGCTTATATGTTTGCAGTATCTTGCAATAAAATAAATCTTAAAAGAAAAATCTGGGTCAAGAAATTAGAAGGTTATGAAGTCCTTGGGCAGGGAGGTTGCAAACTGAGGGGTCCCGGGCTCCAGAAAGAAGGATGCAAGGGCCACTGACCGAGCCACCCTCCACGATGTCCCTCCACAGCGGGCGGTCTGGGGGCTGCTCGGCCAGCTCCAGAAGGTTGTCCAGCACCACCTGGCCGATGAGGTCGTGCCGCGAGAAGCGGTCGAAGTCATACACGCTGAAGTGCAGTTTGCGCTGTGCCAGCTCAGCCAGGGGCACCGAGAACTGAAATGTCTCATTGAACACGGGGTTCAGAGTCTTTCTGTGCACCTGGGGGGCGTGGGTGAGGGTGGGAGACACCATGACCACCAGCCCCTCCTCTCCAGGACCCAGCAGCCCAGACCCTCAGCCCCCTCCTCCCTCCAGCCCAGGAGCTCAGACCCATGGACCCCTCCACCGTGAGACCCGGATCCAGCTTGCCACTCCAGACCTTGGTCTGAAACTTCTTTTTGCGGTCAGGCAGCAGGTAGATCTTGACATAGGGGTCTGAGAAACCGTTGGAGTCCTTGGCAGGAAGGTCCAAGGCCTGCAGGATCCGCACCACCAGTTGGTCGGAGCCGTAGAGGTACCGCAGGGCAAAGCTGATGCGGCCGCAGGGCGCCCCAGAGCCGGCATCTCCAGAGCTCTGGGCCCCACCGCCACGCCGGCTGCCAGGTCCAGTCCCCTGGTACAGCTCCGGCTTAATCTGCCCAATGAGCTTGGCTTTTTCCTCCCCGCCTGGCAGGGGTAAGGGTAAGGCAGGTGGCCGCTCCTCACTGCCTGGGTCCGGCTGTGGGGTCAGGGTCTGCTGGGTGAGGGGCCGAGGCAGGGCCGGGTACCTGTGTGGGGTGGGGAAGGCGAAGGCAGGGTCAGTTACAATGAACTTTGACTGCATCCTAAGGCCTGTGGACTCCTTCCTGCTTCTTCCCCAAGCCCCACAACCAAGCCCACCTTTGCTCATTCCGACTTCGAGCGAGGCCCTTGCACTCTTTGGGCCTCAGTTTCCTATCTGCGTGGGGGTGAGGGGTGTTATCGCCTTCTCTGGGCTAGCTCCAGGCCAGACCAGAAGGCTAACTCCTAGCCTCAAGTGGGTGACCCGGAGTAACTTCTCTGTGGATCCCTGGGGCCCCTCACAGCCCTCCCGAGCCCTCACCTGCCCTTCTCCAAATCTCCCCGACCCATCCTAGTCCCAGCCTCATCCTCTCGCACCTGACCATCCCGCTACCTGGCCTGTCCCTTCTCAGCTTCCTCCACTGGCTGTGTTTGTGGAACACGCTGGAAGCCCAGTGCTCCATCCTCAGCCATCTCGGCTGCCTTTCCACCTTCTCACTCACACGCTTTCCCGGGACAAATTCATCTACACCCCAGGTCCCCACAATGTCAACAGCCCGGTGTGTGCTTCATCTGTCTCCTGAGCTCCAGCCCGGTTCAGTCCCTGCCTCGGCCATCCACCAGCGCCCCCACACCCCTTGCAGTCCCTGCTGGACTCAGTGCCTTCTCCCAAACCTGCTCCTCCTCTGGATTCCCCACGATCCGCCTAAATTTGCTGGTCAGACACGAGAGTCATTCTCACCTCCTCTCTCTCTTCAAATTCCCTCCCTCCCATCTCCCCAACTTCCCCATCTCCACAGCCAATGCTCATCCATCGTCTCCTGCATGGACCATTACTCTGGGGTTAAGTCCCTGTGAACCCTGTGAAGGGGTCGAGTGACAGGCAGTGCTGGGCAGCCATGACTGGACACAGTAGCCCCAGGAGTGCTGAGAGACAGGCACGGGGCTGCGGGGCATGGGGGAGGGCACCAAGCCGTAGGGCGGGATGCAGGGGGAGACTGCAGCTACGGATCCTTGCTCCTGGGGTGGCTTGGAGCAGGCTCAAGACACTCCCTCTGGGGGGCAGTTTCCCCCTGGACGCTGCTTCAGGCCCCTCACACTCAACAAGACCCAGATACACTCAGGGTCACCCTCGAGCCCATTCTTCCTAGATCCTCAGACAGCCCCACCCGCTGCCCAGTTCCAGGCCAGAGCCTGGGTGCCGTCCTTACCTCCGTCCACCCTCTCCCACCCACAGTCATTAGTCCCATCCCTCATGTCCCCTGACTCCCTACTTCACCCACCCGCCCCATCCCCACGACCTCACACTCATGGGGACTCTCGGCCTCAGCCTCCGCTCCGTCCCTCTATCCTGACTCCCTACTTCACCCACCCGCCCCATCCCCACGACCTCACACTCATGGGGACTCTCGGCCTCAGCCTCCGCTCCGTCCCTCTAGTTTGTCCCCTGTGTGGTCCCAGAGAGGTTCTTCTGCACCTAGAGCTGACCCTGCTCCTCCTCTGCTCACAGCCCTCTGTGGCTCCCCAGCACCCGGGGACAAAGTCCCATCCCCTCAATGTGGCATTCAAGGCCCTGTATAGTCGGCACCACTCACATCTGCAGCCACGTCTCCCAGGTTTCCTTTTCTCAGGCTTAGTCCTGCCAAGGTGACCAGTGGCAGTTCCCACAATGCACTACGACTTCCTTGACGCTCGCCTGTACATAGGCTGGAACTCTTCCTGGATCCCAGCTCACAGCCCTACCTCTCTGCCTGGCTAACTCTTTCCCATCCTGCAGGTCTCAGCAGAGACGCCTCCACCTCCAGGAAGTCCCCAGCCTCTTCCCAGACCCAGGTAGGCGACTCCTCGGGACTCCCACTTCCCATGGATTTTGAGTGACAGAAAGGCAGGGTTTGTCTGCTGTGCACCCCACTGTTTTTCCAGCAGCCAGCTCAGTTCTAGCTCAGATTAGGTGCTCAAAATACACTGAGTGCAGAATGAGGAATAATGCGCACATGCACTCCAGGTCCCACCACCAATCCTAGCTTAGGTGAAAGAGCTGAATTGCTTTGTGCCTCTGGCACTCGGGGGTCTAATCTTCATCCTCCTCCATGTTCCTGACCCTGGAGTCCTGTCCTTAGTCTCCTCCTTCCTCTGGATCCAAGAGTCCAGACCTCTATCCCTTCCCTCAGACCCAGGTGTCTGGGCCCCCAGCCTCCTCTTTCCCAAGGACCCAGGGATTCTTACTCCAAGCCCCTTCCTGCCCCAGGACTCAGGACTCTGGACCTCCAGGCCTCTCTCGCCCCAGAACTCAAGAAAGCCATAGATGGGAAAGACACACAGCGTAGGAGCAGAAGTTCAGAGTGGACCCCCAGCCCAGGAGCGTGTCTCACCTGGTGGTGGGTGCCAGGCTTGTGACCTGCTGATGCGACTGGGCGCTGGGCAAGCCCCCACCACTGGGGGGCAGCAGAAGCAGCCCAGAGCCTGCTCCGCTCTCAGAGGGCAGTTCGGGGGATGTCTGGCTTGGTTTGACCCCAGCGGCTACTGCGGCTGCTGCGGCCTCTGGATATGAGTCCATGTCCAAGTACGACGGCTCAGGGAGGTCAGAACCCCCTAGGCTGCCGGACTCCAGCAGCTCAGCGAAGGGCGGATGGTGGGCAGTGTGGGCGTGGTGGTGTGGGCCCCCCAGCAGAGGATGGCCACCTAGGCCAGCCCCCAGGTGGTGCCCACCGCCGCCGACCAGGCCTGCCAGCCCGACCCCAGGGCCTAGGTCTTTGCGCAGGGGGCCCCCGCCTACTGCTGAGCCGCCCTTGTCCCGCCAGGGCACCCAGCACAACTTCCAGGACACGAAGAGGGAGACGCCCAGAAGGACAATGCCACAGAATGTCACGATGACCGACAGCAGGCTCACGGAGATGTCTGGAGAGAGTGAGGACAAAGATTAGGGGTCAGGGTGGGGTCAGAGTTTATCCTCCCACTGCCATCCCCAAAGAGCTAACCTTTAGTATTTGCCAAGCATTGTCCTCGGCACTTTACATTTATTACTTAAACACCCCAGTCCTATAAGTTTAGTATTTCTATATAACCATGTTAAAGATGAGGAAACTGAGGCACAGAGAGGTTGCGTGACTTGCATAAGGCAGCATAGGTAGTAAATAACAGATCTGGGATTTGAACTGGCAGTCTTCAGACTTTATTCGCATTTTATTCTTTTAATCGTTAGCCCACACTGCCCTTTATAAGAGGATACGCTACCTGAATCTTAATCAGCCTGAGGCCAGTGAATCTTAACCAGCAGTGCATGGTGTTAATCCTCATGGCACTATGTAACCTAGGGGTGATTTACCCCATTTTACAGGTGAGGACACTGAGGTTTCGAGAGACAGGAAGCGACCTGCAGGGCCACACATCTGGCAGAACTCATCTGAGCTTCCTGCCCCCACCCCATCCCGCAGGGTGTTCCTTTCTAAGTGACTGACATCTGCTTAGAGTACTGGGAGCCTATCAGAAACCAGAGCAAGGACTTTGCAGCCTCCCCACCACGGGATGACTCAAGACAAGGGGACTGTTTTGTAGGACAAGGCAGAGAAGAGGGGAGAACATTGCACGGATACTTTCCCACCATCAGCAGCCTGACCCAGACCTTCTCCCAGTCAAAACATCATCCTCCAAACTCACCGATTTCTCATTCCTGTCTGCCTGGACTGGGAGCCATTTGGGCTTGGCGAGGCAGGGCAGTTATACCGTACAAGACTAACCTTGCCCAGAGAAACGATCGGCCCTTGATCAGCTCCTGGGAGGGACCTCTATGCCCTTGGAACGTCCTGTCTGAAAGAGCGCTTTGTTTACCTGAGAACCTTGGGCCATGACATGGCCACATAACAATGTGAGTGGTGGGCCTCAGCTGACCCCTGGAGGGGCTGGGGACTAAAGTCAGTCATGTGGGCAGTCAGCCGTGTCTACACAACGGACCGGAAGCTCATTGCCTGGTCTCTCCTGGACCCTACCCTGTGCATCTTTTCCTTTGCTGATTCTAATCTCTATCTTTTTGCCGTGCTAAAACATAACCACAAGTGTAACAGCTTTGCTGAGCTCTATGAGTCTGTCTAGGAAATCATTGACCCTGAGGATGGTCCTGGGGCCCCCCAAATGGCAGTAGTGTGCTAGACTTCCCAGGACCAAATCTGGCTCTTCTGCCTACAGGCTGTGCTACTGAGCCAGCAACTGCAGCTCTTTGGGTCTCATTCCTTATTAGGCCTCCTGCACAACCTGCATGCGAGATGCTGAGACCCCCCTGGCGCTCAGCACGTGTGACCGTCGCTGTAACCTCCCCACCATGCTTCCCCGGGGCTCCTCACCTGGGCAAGGGCACTCCTGATATGTCCTAGCTCTCAGAAGCCTGCTGCTTCCTAGCTGTGTGACCTTGGGCAAGTCGCTACACCCTTCTGAGCCTGTTTCCCCATTGAAAATGGGGATTATATGTATCACAAATCATCATTGTGAGAAGTTGAAATCTGCAAAGGACCTCGCGTGCTGCCCGCTACACAGCTAGTGCTCCGTCGGTGCTTCCCGACACTTGTTGAGCAACCACTGTGTGTCCAGCTTGCTCTAAGCACTTCACATGCATTATATCATTTGAGTCTCTCGGTGGCCATGAGGTAGTCACTTTTATTATCCCCATTTTCCAGATAAGGAAACTGAGGCACAGAAGAAGAGTCACTTGCCTAAAGCCATTTAGTAAGGGCAGGGGATTTGAACCTAGACAAGTCAGACAGTCTGACTCAAGAGCCTGAGTTTTTAAGTACTTTCCAAGACGGACACAGATATCTGAAGGCGATATATAGTGGGGTGGTAGTGGGGGCTGCAGGAGACCCACAAGATAAAACCCAAAAGGGCAGAGGTCAAATAGACCACACAGCTCCTTCTCCTTATATCAGAGGTTTGGGGGACCAGCAGCAGACAGGATGGAGGCAAGACTTTATGAGGGACTGGCCCCACAGGGAACAGAAAGCTGAGTGGGGCTGCTCTGACTCTCCCCAGATCCTGGCTGTAGCGGAGGCAAGGGGCTGGTTGAGACAGCTGGGGGTGCTGACCTGCATCTGGGCCCCGGGGATAGCCTCGGATTCGCAGGTCGTTGAACTCCTGGCACCTGTCACTGGTGTCAGCATCTCGGACCCGTGCACAGAGGTCCGAGACCAGGATGAGTGCCCGCCGGCAGAGGTCATCCTCGTAGTCTCCTGACATGGTGGCTGGCAGGTCCTGTGCTTGGGAGGGGCCGGGCCAGGGTGCAGATAGGGACCGGGATTGGGGAGCGGAGGTGGATAAAGGGCAGAAAGAGAAAGAGGACAGGAAGGATAGGTGAAGGGCCAGAGATTGGGGGTAGATGGAGAAGGGGATGGAAATTAGGGAGGGATGGACAAGGGAAAAGAAATTAGGGGCAGATGGACGAAAGGACTGAAAGTCAGTGGCCAGGCAAGGAGACAGTAACAGGGGGATAGAAACTGGCATGAGTGGACAGAGGACAGAGAATAGGGACAAGTGGACAAGAAGGACAAGGTGGGAAGGCCAGTCAAGGGGCAAAGAGATTAAGGATGCACAAATAAAGGGATAGACAGACAAGGAGACAAAGGTTAGGGTTGCACAGATGGAGGGACAGAATTTAGGGATGGATAAGGGGGCAGCCATTCATCATTCATGCAGCCAACGAATATTCATTGAGCACCAACTACATGCCAGGTCCTGTGCCAGCTGCTGCAGATCCAGCAGGGAGCGAACCCCACGCGTTCTCCAACTTCCTGCTGTCACAATCCAATGAGAGGAGACAAAGAGCAACAAGTCAACAAACACCCATACACACGCGAGCATTTTTACACTGTGAGACGTGCTCCATTGGAACTAGCCGGAGGATGTTTCACAGAGGGACGGGAGGTGGACGGTCATGGGGCGGGGCGGGGCGGGCCGGGGGGGCGGGTCCTCAGGCCTGAAGGACCAGTGGGCAGCTGGGCTCGACCGGGGAAAGGAATTCAAAGCAGCAGAAATAGGGAAGGCCCACGGTGGGAAAGGGCTTGCTGGGTCCAAGGAGCAGGAAGGAGGCCAGGTGGGAGAGCACTCAGGGGGTGGCCCAAGAGGGAGGGAAGGCGATGCAGGATGCAAAAGTGGGGACCAAGTTGACGGAGGTAGAGATGAGGACAGGGTGGGCAGAGATCACAGAGAGGGCAAACTGGAGCCCAAAGGAGAGGACCAGATGAACAGACAGACAGATGGAGGGAAAGTCGAGGATTGAGACTTGGGATGGACAAGCCATAAAGAACGGGCTGGTGTGTAACTCATGGGAGTGTGAGAGACGGGTGGATAGGGGGGCAGTGGTAAGCGCCAGGCAAGAGTGTTGTACAGAATGTCTGAGATGGAAACAGCAGTTGAGAGAATGGATGGGACGCCAAAATAAAGGACAGCCGAATAACGGCCAGAGATCACAGATGGACAAAACGATACAGAGTGGGGCTCTGCAGACAGACATGGATGCAGAAGGAAGGTCGGTGGGGTGGGGTGGAGGGCATAAAAGACGGGACCAGGAGAAAGAGATGGATGCAGGGAGAAGGGGAATTAGCGACACGTGGTTTGGAGCCAGACATCAGAGATGGACTGGAAAGAGGGTGCAGGGGAAATTAGGGATAGACAGATAGGCTTACAGATGGACAGGGATCATGGGGCGCTGCAGAAGGCCAGGACTCCAACATGGGCATGGTCAGACTCACCTGAGCTTATCCCTGCGGTGTCCTGAGTAGCGGCCGAGGCGGCGGCTGGCGGCAACCCATGGGGGTTGTAGGGCGGACAAGACGCTGCGGACCCGTCCCCACGCGCCAGGTGGTGGGAGGGGTGCCGGATCTGGGGCCGTATCCGGGAGAAAAAGCTCAGTCCGGACTCACATCTTGTCTTACTGGGGCCAGTTTCTCGACTCGGGGAGACCCTTGGGAGGTCCGGCACCCCCCTCCCACCTCCGGGGGCCCCAGCTCCCGTTGAGCTGCGAGACTACAATTCCCGGCAGGCCCTGCGCTCGCTCTGCTGCAGCTTCATAGACCGGAGCTGCAGGGCCTGCTGGGAGTTGAAGTCCTCAATGCCTCTCCCGGCTGCAGAGAGAATGGGAAATTTTTTTGCCGGGGGGGCGGTTCTGTGATGCCGGGGTCCCAAGGCGCTGCAGGGGAGAGGAATGATGTCCCAGACCTTGAGAGGCCTCTGAGTCCTAAGTCCTTAGGGGGCCGTAGAGTTGGTAAACGATCCCCATGCCCGGGGGATCGGTGGGCGAGGTTGGGGTACACCCAGGTGTTTTAGGACCCCCCCCTACCAAGGCCACGTGCCCCTCCCCCGGGGCGCCAGCGAGCGCTGCAGCACTCCCACTCCCAGGCAGGAGGTCGGCGCGCCTCTGCACCTACCCCCGCCCCCATGTGCCGGGGCCGCCCCCCAGGATCGGGCTGGGGCGGGGGCTGTGGCAGGGGGAGGGGGAGGGGGAGGAGCGGACTCACCCGGAGCCGCCGCCGCCGCCGCCGCAGCCCCGCGCGCCAGCCGCGGTGCCCGCTCGGCTCCTCCTCCTGCCCCTGGCGCAGGTCCGCGGCTCCTCCCTTTGCACCCCTCCTTCTCCTCCGAACCTGGCTGCTTCAAAGCCGAAATCGCGCGGCCGCATCGAGGAAGGAGGAAGATTTCCTGGGACCGAGGCGTCAGAGACCCAGCTCTCTTCCACAGTGGGGGATCAAGAACCTGGGATCATGACCCTCTGCTCCCCCAAAATCCAGGCAGGGGGCCTGGCCGCCAGCCGCTCTGCTCTGAGACGGCGAAGTCTGGGATCCCAGGCACCTCTGGTCCCAGGACCCAGGGTACTGAAACTCCCACCCGCTCCATTCTCAGACCCAGGAATCCGCCCCTCCCCGCCTCTTCCTCCCTAGTCCCCTCCACCGCCGGACCCAGGACTTCAAGTCCGGCCGTCTGATGAGCTCTGAGGGCCGGAGATGGGAGGGGAGGCGGAGCCACAGAATTGGCTAGTCGGGAGAATACTAGCCCGTGCGAGGTACTGGCAGGGACCTGGGTTCGGATCCTGCCCGGGCCGGCTTCTGCCTTTCTGACCTCTCGCGCTTTGCCCTGAGTCCAGTTCCCTCATCAACCAAGGATAGACAGTAAGCCTGTTTCCTCAGGGATCCAGAAGTTTGAAAAACCAGCCAGTTGAGATAAAACATTGGCACCAAGTAGGCGCTTAATGCATATTGCTTAAAAGCAGCGAGTAACAGTTCCTGGTATATTAATAGTGGTTAATGATAATTGCCACTGACTGTGATCTGGGCATTGGGCTAAGTACTTTGAAAGCATTTTCTCATTTAATCTTCACCTTGGTCCTATGAGGTGGATGCAGTTGTGTTATTCCCATTGTACAAAGGGAACAATTGAGGCCGGTGGGGTTTAATCCCTTGGAGAAGGTCCAGAGCTACATGGTCGCAGTGGCAGCATGCAGGGGTGCCTCAGAGGCCCCTCAGTCTTTCTCAGTGATGCCCCTGCCAAGTGACACCCACATAAATATAATGTCTCAGTACACAATGTCTTGCTTCTCCGAGACAAGTCCCCTAGGTCCTCCCTTTTAACTAGATTATCCCCCCAGTTGCCGCCTATGTATACATTTAGAATCATTGTCATACTGTAGAATCACCCAGAAATGTCCCTCAGGCTCAGCTTGAATCCTATCCTCAGTGTTTCTTCATTCTCCCAGATGGACCTACATTTGCATCTGGGGAGACATACATGGGGGCACTCTCACAGAGGCAGGGAGGTCCAGACACTCCAAGCCCCTTGCACAGCCAGACCCTCCCATCCAGCTGGCCTGCCAGAGTCCACAGGCAGCCCTGTTCCATGGGGAGAGATACATGAAGTATGCAGCAATGGGTACACCCAGATCTGTGTTCACAGAAGGGCTTGCTGGGCTCCCATGACATTTTCCTAGAGAGGTTGCAATGTATTAGGAGGCAGCTGTAGCACACTGGTTGTGTGTGTGACTTTGGGGGCAGTGTGTCAGGGTTCAAGCCCCAGTTTTGTTCTCTCATACGGCATGGCTTTTGATAAATCACTTGTATCCTTGGCGCCTCAGTTTCACCATCTTTAAATGAGGACAACTTTCAAAAAATTTAGATCCCACTTCATTAAATTATTTTGAGGGTTAAATTCATATGAGGTGCTTAGAAAAAACGGTTAGTGTTTAGCAATTGTCATAATTAGTCATTTTATGCATCTGTTCGTGCATTCTTTAACTACATTTGAAAAGTGGGGCAACTGAGGCTCAGCGAGGGGAAGGACCCTACCTGAGGTCACACAGCTGGGAAGTGTCAGGGTTGAGATTCAAAGCCACATGTATCTGAATCTAGACCCTTACTTTCTACATTGTTTGTACTCAGGAATTTTGAGGACCTTGCCTGCCATCGCCGCTGGGGGCGCAAAATAGCATAGAACCCTGGACAGGGAACCAGGAGACAGAGAGTCCTTCACATCCATCCAATTCAATCCATGCATTCATTTGTTAAATTCTCATTCAACCAACCAATATTTTTTGAGCATCTACTGTGTGCCAGGCACTGTTCTAGGCATGGGATTCAGCTGGGAATAAGGCAGACAAAAATTCCAGCTTTGGGAGTTTTTGGTCTAGTAGGGGAGACAGATTAATTACTGAAGAACTGTAGGTACTAATATCAATGCTATGAAGGAGAGTCCAGGGTGCTGTGAGGAGGAGGTCCTGGGAGGCTTCCCTGAGCAAGTGATGTTTGGGCTCAGAAGGGTGAGTTGGCAAAAGCCAGGTGAAGGTGGGGGAGGGGAGAGGAAATGCTCCCGGGAGAAGGAACAGCCTGGCGAGGCCTGGGGCAGGAGGGAGTCTAAGTCACTGAGGAGCATAAGCTCCATGGGGCTAGTGCTTTGTTTTGTTTACGGCTGTGTCCCCCAGCACCTGATGGTGCCTGGCACACAGAAGACACTCCAGAAATATTGGTTGGTTGAATGAATGAATGAACAAGTGGATGGATAAATAGAGGAATGTATGGATGTACAGATGGATAAGTGGATGGATGGATGGATGAATGAGTGAATGGGTGTGTTTGCACAAACACCTACACAGAGACATGCATACATGTGTGCAAACACAGGTTCACCTCTTTCTCTGGTGCTGCCCCTGGAGAGGACCCTGAGGGGTAGGCCAGGCTGGCCATCTGTATAGATGAGGATGCAGTGAGGCAGACCCTCTGACCAGGGCTACACCCAGCCCCACCCCCACTGCGGCACTGACACAATTTCTGGAATAGGAGTTATATGCTGATTCAGGGATTTGTGTCCCAGGCTGTGTGCCAGGCCAGGGAGTGGGACAGAGACGGCCTGAGAGAGATGGAGGGACAGAGAGAGGCAGGTGGGGCTGAGGTGGAGAGACAGGGAAGGAGACAGAGAGATAGACAGACAGAGAGGAAAAGAGATGGAGAAATGAAACAACAGAGACAGAGAGAGAAAGAGACAGAGAAACACAGAAGGGTATAGACACAAAGAATGAGAGACAGATGCAGAAAGACTGAGACACATGACACAGAAATTCAAATTCAGGCACAGAGCAGGATAAAGCAGGGTTCCAGAGGCAGAGGAAGAAAAATGGACACACAGATGGGAACACAGAACCCAGACTCTAGAGGGAATAAGAAAGAGAGACAGGGAGTGACACCCAAAGAGGGAAAAAAGAGAGCTCCAGAAGAGGCAGCTAAATCTAGTCTCAGAGAGGGAAAGACACTTCCACAAGGTTGCACAGCCTGGACATGGCATGCCATGCTGGTCTGTTTGACCCCAGAGACCATGTTTTCTTCTTTACCTTATGTTGCCTTGTAAGGACCAAGAGGGCAGATGGGGTTGGGGATGCTGAGTGGGGGTCACAGTGACAGAAGGAAATAGTTATTCATGTATGCATTTAACACCCATGTCCTGTGCTTCCCAGGCAGAGATGAGTCAGGAGCTCCAGGTCTGGCGGGGGAGGTAGACACAGGCCCAAATCCCTGAGCAAGACAGAGTGGCAGTGTTCAGAGGCCTGGGTAAAAAGCAGATAAAGAATGTGCCAAGGAAGGAGACAGAAAACACAGCTGGTAGGAGGAAGAGTCAGAGAAGGCTTCCTGGATGAGGGGGCATTTGAGCTTCTTATTGAGGGATGAGGGCATTGGGGTCCTGGGAAAAAGGGATCACGGAAGGGCATTCTAGGTGCACCTCGTGTGGAGTGGAGACAGGATGGGGTGGGAGGGATCCATTAAATCAAATAATAGAAGGTGACTGGAGAATGTTTGAAGGGGTGAGGTGGGAGAGGAGGGCGGGGCCGATCATGCAGATCTCAAGTGCCCAGCTGCGGTGCACTGGGGAGCCACAGGAAGGCGTGAGCAGGGGAGGGGCAGGGTCTGCCCTGGGTGCAGAAAGACCCCTCTGGAATCCTGTGGGGAAAGGCATGAGGGTGGGAGGGCAAGGAGGAGGCTAGGGCAAGGGTCCAGACCAGGAGAAGCCCAAGTCTGCGTGGGTGCTGAGGCTGCAGGAATGGAGAAGAGAGGAAGCAGCAGAGAAAGTCAGGAGGCAGAAGGGATAGAGGCTGGGGACTGATAGGATGTGGGGGCTGCGGGTGTGCCTGTGTTCAAGGGAATGAAAGATGTCCCCTGTCTTATAGGGACAGACTCGGCAACTAGAAATGGGGGACAGCCTGATGCAAGTGAGACATGAGGATGCAAAAATGGAGTCAGGGCCTCAGAGGAACTGAGTCTGCAACTGAGTCTTTTAAAGTAAGGACTGTTTTAATTGCCAGTGACAGAAATGCAAATGACCTAAGCATAAGAGGGAATTAACTGGGTGTATGGAGGCTTCAGGCATGGCTGGATCCAGGTGTCCCAATCATTACCAGGAATCTGCATCTTTTCTCTCTCCTTTCTTTGTGTTGTCTTTGCTCTCCCCATATGGCAATGTGATGGAGCCTGCAGCTCCAACCTAGGCTCTAACCAGCTGGGAAACTCCAGTGGAGAAAGATCCTCTTTTATAAAAGGTCCAGCAAAAGTCCAAGTGCTGACTCTATATCCTAGATTGATTTCTAAGCTGACCTTTGAACAAATCACCCAGAAAATCAAGGTGTTACTACCTAGAAAACAGGAAACTTATGCTTACCAAGCAGGAATAATGGACACTCAAGGCAGAGACCATCTGGAAGAGGACAGAAAAGGACTAGGATTCAGGTAACAGAGACAGAATAAGAAAGTTCAGTCTCATCTCCCACAGTTCCTGCTGAGAACTCTGCAGAGACAGAGAAAGGGATGTGGCTGGACCCCTTCGCTCCTGGCCTGGGAACCAGGAGCCCCCAGCCCCTCCCCCACCTCTGCAGGTACCATGGCAACCAGGCTTCCGGCCCTCCTTTCCCTCCTCCAGTTCCCGTTTGAATCTTGCCTGTGTCCAAGCAGTTCCTGTGTGAGGCGGGGATGGGCAGAGGGCAAGTGGGACCAGAAAGGGGATGAGAGAGGGGAGGGGAGCCAAGGAACACAGCAGAGGCAGCGATGAGGACTGAGAGATGGAGAGGGGAGACTGGGGGGAGCTGGGGAGAGAGGCTGGGGGCCAGAGAGAGGGCGACAGGGCTGAGGGGAGGCCGGGCACTGCGCAGAGAGGGAGGGGCAGGGGGCTGGGGGCATGTGGAGGAGATGAGTGGAGAAGGAGACGGAATGAGGGTGGGGGACAGAAGTGGGGAGGAAGAGGACAGGGACATCGAGGGAAAGAGGTAGGGGGAGAGGGAAGGAGGGAGGGGTGCAGAAAGATGGGGAGAGAATGAGGAAGAGAGGGTTGGGGGCAGAGACTTGAGGAGACAGGGAAAGACAGAGGGAGAAGCAGGAATGTGGGGAAACAGGAATTGGGGTGCACAGGGCATCCCAGCGGTTAGGGGAACCCGGCTTTCCATGTGTTCTCAGCTTGCCAGTTCGTCCATATTTTTTTCCCAGGCCTTCAGCAAGAAAGGAGAGGAGGCAGCGGTGGGGAAGAGGAGCTGGAGTGGGTGGCCTAGTCACAGTTCTTCTCCCCACCCCCTGAGACACCCCCCACCTACCTTCCCAGGATGCAGCAAGAGGTGGAGACCCTGTGCATCAGCGGGAACCCCAGCCCGCACAGGGAGGCAGGTACCGAGCTGTGCCTGTCTGCATCTGTGTGCGTGTGCATGTGTGTTCCTTCATCCACACACCGTGTGGTAGCTCCGGCTTGCAGTATGGCCTTAGGTGAGTCACTGCCCTTCTCCAGGGAGAGCTGCTCCAGACTCTGTGTCCACCAGATTCCTCGACAATACCCTTGGCTCTCACTCCGCAGTTCCCATGAACCTCTGCAGTTCCCCGGCCAATGTTCTGGACCCAGAACTTGGGCCTTAACGACTCTCCTGAGGTCATTATCCCCCTAGAGGCCCTACCCTGGCCCCTCGTGCTCTCCTTGTCTGCCACAATGAACTCCGCATCTTCCCCCAGAGCCGCCCCTCCTCCCCGCTTCCCACCTTTGAATGGCCCTGGTGCCAACCTGGCCACTGGGCTAGACCCCAGGCACTATCCACCCTACTCCCCACCACAGCTGTCCGTTCCCAGCCCCATCTATCTGCCCACTCTCTCTACCCTGTCACCATTTGTCCATCCCCACAGCCCCATTCAGGTCTGTCCTCTTCCGTGTGGATCCTTTCTCCACCAAGCTCCCCACTCTGCAGTCTCTCCCCTTCAACCCATCCCCTGCACGGCTCCAGAGAGGTCTTTCTGACACCCAGTGCTGACCTTGTCTCTCCCCTGCTCACAGCTTTCCCTGTTCCTCATCACTCCAGGTGGAGTCCCAGGCCCTCAGTCTGGTGTCTTAGGCCCTGTGTGTTCGGACACCAGCTGACAACTTCAGGCCTGTGTTCCAGGGCTCCCTATTCATGCTCAACTTTAGCACAGTTCATTTATTCATTCACACATTCAACATCTATTGAGTGATAGCTCAGTGAGGATGTACTTGGCTAGCAGGTAATAGAAAATTGGACTTAGTGTAGTGTGAAGAATAGGAATGTTATTATCTTAGCCAAAAAGAAGCCCAGAGGTGGGTCAAGGTTTGCATTTGGTTGAGTCAGTAGCTCAGTGATGGCACCAAAGTCCCAGTTTCCTGCTCTTTGATCAGATATATTGCCTTTGCTTATTTGCTTACTTCATGGCCACAAAATGGCTGCCACAGTTCCAGACATCACTTCTGAGGTCTTCATCTTAAGAACTCCCAAATGATTTCTCCTCACACTTCATTGGCCAGCGTTCTGTCACCCACTCACTCTTGTCTCACTCCCTATCAAAAAGAATAAGATTATCATGATTATTTTAGTCAGTGGTCCTCAACTCTGGCTACACATCAGGGGAGATAATTTTAAAAAACTTATGCCCAACCTCACTTCAGATCCAACTTAACCAGACCCTCCAGGATTGGGGCCCTAGTATTTATATCTTTTGAAAGCTTACTAGGTAATTGTGATGAACAGTAGGGGTTTGAAGGCATTGTTTTACACTGGATGAGATACCCTTGAGGAAATTGAGCATTTGTGAGTCTCTGCTGAGTGGCATGAGTGAGAAATGAACCCTCCTCAGATGCGGGAACAAGGATGGGAATGGCTCAGTGCTTGGGGGTGACTCCTTTCTGAGTGTCTGCTATAAGCGCCTGCTCTCTGCCAGGTGCCATGTTAGGCATAGCAAATGCCCTAGTGGCAAAATAGACACCATTTCTCTGTCCCCAGGTCTCTTTTAACATTTTTGAAGCCCTCTTTCCCTTGGAGACACCCCCACCCCACATCACCTCTAACTTAGACTGAGGCACCCACCTGATAAATATAATCTAGGGGTAGCTCTGGAGAAGTTGAATGGAACTCAGTTGATCAGATGGCTGGTTTGTAGATCAACATTTGTTCACTTCATTTTGCTGTTTTTCTTTATGGTATTTTAGAATTAATAGCATTTTTAGCTTAGCAGGTTGCAGACTTTGGCATAGGCGATTAGAAATCCCATAGGTCCCAAGGATTTTGCAGGTAGTGCCTCGTGTATGAAATGACCCAGCTTGTTCTCATTCAGGGAAGGGCAGCCATGGAACATGCCATCTCACAAATAATTAATAACCTGCAATTGCAGTCAGTGCTCATTAGCCTTGGGGTGATGAGAATTCTGGGAAGTTTGTGCAGATGACCACGTTCTCTTTTGCTTAAAGACTTATCCCCCTATGGTCCCTCTGCACAATCCTTTTCCTTGCCATTTCTTTTTTGGCAAACTCCTCCTTATCCCTTAGGTCTCACTGTAGATATCACCTCTTCTCAGAAGCCTACCCTGATTGCCCCTAGACTGGACTTCCTCTCCACCCCGTGATACCTCCAGTGTAGCACATATTGCCCTTCAGAGTGATGACTTCCCCCACCGGACTGGGAGCTGTTGGAGGGCTGGATAGGTTGTCTAGACAAGACTAGGGTGAGAGGCAGTAGACTTGGGAGACTGAGAACACAACCTCCGGACCCAGATGCCTAGATTTTTACAGATTTTTATCCTGGTTCTATCACTTTGGGCTGTGTGACCTTGGGTGTCATGTAACCTCTGCCTCATTGTTTGTTTAGCTACACTATCTCAGAAAGTCATCTCAAGGGTGTGATAGAAAGCACTTTGAAAGTGTCTGGCTTTTTAAAGGGGACTATAAACACATAGTTATTATTATTAAGTGGACTGATTTGAGAAGGAGGTTGTTACCTAGTCCAAGCTTGTGCCATTCACTGCACAACATGCCAGTAAGTCGAAAGAGGTGTTGGGGCAACAACTTTACTCAGAAAGCCAGCAGGCCGAGAAGGTGAGGGACTCAAGCCCTAAAGAACCATTTTAACTTAGGGCTGATTTCAAGCTTCTTTTTTATTTGGGAAGGAGGAACTGGAGGGGACTGTGGTCAGGACATGATGATCCCTCGGACATCTGGACGTCAGCAAGGGACTCAGGAGGGTTGGGAAAATCCTTGTCCTTGGTTACCTGACACCAGTCCTTTTGTGGCCTGTGACGTTCCCAAAAGTCCTTGACCATCCAGTCATCATTTTTGTACATACTTCTTTATCTCCTAGGGGGAGGCAGCTTTTGGGGAAGGGGCTGGTTGCATCATCTTAAGTCATGAGCGAAATCCCCTTCGATGATCAACAAGCCCATGTGCAGGACTGCAGGAAAGAGCAGAAGCTGTTTGACCCAAAGATTTAAGGCAGCAAAGAAGAGAGAGACAGTGTGAAGGCAGAGATGCTGAGCTTTTCACTCTGTGACAAGATTACTGTACTGGAGGGGTGGAGGGGAGGCCAATTTAGCTGGAGGAAAATGATCAGAGAGGTCAACAGAGGTGACCACATGCAGGGCAGTTGTTTCTCAGAGGGGATCTTATTAAAATGCTGCTTCTGACCTAGGAGGTCTGGGGCGGGCCCTGAAGTGCCGTGTTTCAGACAAAGTCCTGCTTCCAGGACTGAGAAGCGAGTCCCCATTACAGGGAAGACTTTATCCTAAAGGCAAGAGGAAGCCGCTGGTGGTTTGTAAGCGTGGGACTCATGGCAAGAAGTTGAGATGAAAAGATCACCTCAACTGCCCTGCGGAGGTGGGAGGACAAGAACCAGAGAGGGGGACTTAGTATGGTACAAGCTGAGTTGTGTCAGAGACCACGAGGAGCATAGCTGTGACGTAGCTGCGTACTTATGTACCAGCTCATAAGACCTGATTGTTGAAGTTTGCAAACTGATTGTTGAAACTGGAGGGAGCTAGAAATTGGTCATGGTGGGAGAATTGACACCATGAAAACTGGCAAATGCTGCAGTGTGTGTGTGTGTGTGAGAGAGAGAGAGAGAGAGAGAGAGAGAGAGAGAGAGAGAGAGAGAGAGAGAGAGAGAGGAGAGATTATACATTTACCAGCATACCACTGAATTTATAGACCGTGAATGAGGGCGACCATGACACATGGAATGTCTCAGTACAACAGTGCTAAGGACTTATTATGGGAGCCGGGCTGGATTACATGACTTTGGGAGGGTTCAGGGAAGCAGGCTTTGCTCTGGAGGGGATGCTGGCAGTAAGTGGAGGCAAGTCTGTGATGCAGAAGGAATGAATGGAGCTGACATTGTGGTTGGGAAAACAACAGCCGCATCTGAGCCAAGAGAGAGATTTTTGGTCTGTCTTGTGGTTTGGACACGATTCATGTTTTGTTGTGTTGAGACCTGACTCCAGTGTGGTCTTATTTCTACTTTGGTTCATCGTGGTCACCGAGTGGTCTTGGCTGGTGCTGGGGTTCTGTGAAATTGTTTATGTGTGGGAGGAGCGCGCACCAGGGCCTGGCTGGGAGCGCCAGAGCAGCTCCGGGCTGTCAGGGGCCGCTTTCTGCTTCCTTCAGCTGCTGTCACAGAAAGACTCCCCGCCCCCTCCCCAACAAACACAACGGTATTAAGAAGTCAGTGCATTTCTCTCTTGTGCAACCGGAGGTAGGTGGTCCGGATGGGTGGGACATTTCTACCCCTCAAGATGACTCAGGGACCCAGGTTCCCTCTGTTGTTGCTCCACTGTTTCTAGTGTGGCTGAATCTGGGGGCATGCTACATGCACAGTTCAGTCCAAGGGAAGGGGCAGCAAGTCTGAAACAAGCAACCTGTTTTTAAGCAAAGGACTCCAAAATTTGCACCCCTCAACGCTGTTGGTGAGAAGTTGGTCACGTGGCCAGACGTAGCTGCAGGGGAGGCTGGGAACTGTGCGTCTAGCTGAGTGATTGTGTGCCAGGTAAAACTGCAGGGCTGTAGAAGGGGAAAATAGATTATGTGGGACAACTAGCAGTTGGCAGTAAGACGGACCGGTTGACAGAGGGGTTTGATTTGAGAGCTGTTTTAAGTGAATTCCAATCAGGAACGGCGGTTTGAAGAGTGTTGGAAAAACCACAAACTGAATTCAAACGCTGCTGTTGCAGCCAACTGCCACTGCCGAGGTGAAGGAGCCAGGCTGGCGTGATGAAGAGGAAGTAAAAAGGGGCAAATCCCATCTTCCTCCGGCCTTGCCGTCGCCCTCTTGCGCCCCCTCTAGGCAGAGCCTAATAGGATCACAGCTGTCAGAAGAGAGGAGATGGGAGTGGATAGCGTCTCCGCCGCTGGACTCCGCGGCACGAGGGAGTTTGTGGGAGTCGGGCATAAAAATAGCTGGCATAAGAGCCACTCAGGGGTAGCATGGACAACACTTGATGATGCCCATTTAAGCTCTCTGGGGAGAGCTCAGGGCAGCTGACGCTGGGTTTTCCGTCCTCAGGAGCCCTCCTTTTGGACGTAGAGGCCGCAGAGATGAAGGGTCGGAGCGGGGGCAGGCCTGTCAAATCCTCGTGAGTGGCTCCTGGCCCCATGCCTTCTGATCTCAGCTCCCCCGAGAGCGATGACAGTAACCCCTGACCTCCGAGGTCTTCGGGCGCTCGCTCTCTCCCCAGGAAGCAGTACCTGCACCAAGTCATTGCAGAATATGAGGCACTGGACCGAGAGCTCCCGTGCATCCGGAAGTTCCCCACACCTCCCGCGGCGCAGCCCCTCTGCCTGTGCGTGGAGACCTCGGTGAGTGGCCCGCTCCTGGGACCCCAGGCCCCTGACTTCTGCACTATTTGGGAGGGCAAAGGGCATGGTATTAGAAGCGAGGTGGACAGGGCTCAAGTCGAGGTTCTGCTGTTTACCAGCTGTGGGCTTAACACCAGGACAGGTGGCAGAAAAGTGTGTATTTGTCAAACGGCCAGCCATTAAATGTATCATGGCTGATCGCAGAGGGGTAGGAAGAGAGGGAGAAGGAGGTACAATGAAGGGCAGAGACTGAGAGGCAGCGAGAGGAGAGCTGAGGACACAGGGAGTCCTGTTAATCCATCTACTATGAAATTCTGTGAAGTTTGCAAATATCACAAAAACTCAAGAAAATGCCAACGTTTTTGACAGATGCAGCAAAGTGGTCTTTCAGTGTACGAATCCTTTGGCAGTCCCTGCCCTCAGCCAGAAGAGCTATCTATTAGGGTCTCACTCCTTCGGGAGCTAAATGACAAAAGCTGACATTGGGGTGCCTGTGTGACAGGGGTGCCCTCAGCCCATTCGTGCGTGTGACTTTAACCAACACAGGGATTGTTGTCCTCGTATAAGGGATCAGTCTCCACCCCCAACACTCCTCTTCTTTGTGGCTTTGAACATGGGGTCCCACCCCCTACGCACACCGAAGGCTTGCCTTCTTAGAGGTGACCGATTTCGTGATTTCATTTTAGTTCCTCAGCAATTTGATGTGCTATGACATTGATGTATCACCTCCAACATGGCAATCTCATGCTGAAAATGCGGTTAGTGGTCAATATGTGTTTCTGCATAAATTAAACGGTTTGACAAGAAGTCGAAAACCCCTATGATTTTTTTTTAAACATCTGAACATTCCTTAAAATGCTAACAGGAACATAAAAGGAAAAATGAATGACTTAAATCTTTGTGGAAATCTTCAAGAGCATGTTAAAAAATCCTGCTAAAAGCTTGCCATCCAATCAGATTGCTGGAAAAGTTTTTGGTAGATTGGTAAAGTTGGCTCAGGCTAGTGAATCATTCAGCCAACAGTTGACTGACTTTTGGCAAATTGACTTGGTAAGAATTGATATTTTGGAGAATGACGTAGAATGACAGTAGATGTTTTTCTACCTGTAAGATTTCCGTCCTCTGCGCACTGTCAAAAGCGATAGGATCCTGGGATCAAGTGTGATCTTTGCCCTTCAAGGGCCAGCTGGGACTCGGGCAGGTTCCGCAGGCGGGGTCTAGGGTGGCGGGGACTTATGACCCCGGGCTTCGCGGGCTGAGGCTCCGTCTCCGCCTCCCTAAGCCAGAGGAGGATCTCACCCATCTGGAGGTGCTGCAAGCGCTGGAGGCCGAGTTACCTGGAGCCATGGAGAACGGGTGCGTGAGCAGCATCCGCTATGAGAACATGAACGTCATCTGTGGGACTGCGGGGCGCCGGGACCGGTGAGCCTGCGGCTGGGGCGCGGCCTGGAGCTACCGGGAGGGGCGGGGCGGCCGAGTGTGCGACGAGGAGGCGGGGCCAGAAGGGAAGGCGGTAAGGGGAGGGGCCTGGGGGGCGCGGGGAGGGCGAGTAGAGGCAGAGGCGGGGCGAAGGAGCTGAGGGGGCGGGGGCAGCGAGGGAAGGCAGTGAGGGGGCGGGGCCTAGAGCTACCGTCGAAGGGCATGGTTTGTGTAAGGGCCGGGCAGTGGGGCTGTGAGACCCGGGAAGGACGGAGCCGAGAGTGAGCCCGATGAGGGGGCAAGGCCAGATGAGAGCAGAAAGAAAGCGGGATCTGGAGTGGGGAACAGGAGTTCTAGTGACCCAGGTAGTGACGGACATTCCGAGGTGTGGGATATGAGGGGGCGGAGCCCGGAGTGAGTATATCGTAGGGGCGGGGCCAGGAATGATCGGGTGGACGTGGGGCCTAGAGCGTCTAGTTACGGGCGGCGCCGGAGGAACCTAGATCCCGGGACAGGCCCGAGAGCCACACTGAAGGGGCGGAGCTGGACGAGGAAGGGGGCGGGACCTGGAGCGGCGGTTTGAAAAGTTGGAGCCTCGACAGACCACGATTAGGGCCCAGAACCAGGCAGAGAGAAAGCGGGGCCAAAATGACTTAGGTGAGGATCAAAGTACAGGTTGACTTCGGCGGTAGGGCAGGGCTGGAGAGGGGTTTAGAGACGGAGTGACGGGTTGAGGGACTGGAGTTAGTAAACGACCAAGGGTCAGGCAGGGACTCTTCGACAATCAAAGGGGGCTGGCCGCCAGCGTATCCCCTTCCGTGTCCGCCCCGCCCCTGTCCTCTCGCCCCGCCCCTCGCAGGTGGCTCATCACGGTTACCGACTTCCAGACTCGCTCGCGTCTGCTGCGATCTGGGCTGTGTCTCCGCGGGCTCCCGTACCCGCTCGTGCGCCACGACGACCTGCTGCTGGACGACTACCGCCTGCACCTGCGCCGCTCCCTGGTCCGGCGGCGCATGCTCGAGGCTCTGGGGGCGGAGCCGACCGAGGACTGACCAGGGAATGGGCCCGGCTGCGCTTGCGCACCGCCCAGCTGGCTGGGGTGGCCCACCCCGAACCGCCGAGGAAAGGGGGCGTTGCCTCCCCAGGAAGGAGGCGGGGCCGGCTCGAGGGGGTGGATACTGTGAGTTTAATTATAAAGAATGACCTGGTACAAAAGCCATTTCTCTCTGCAAAATCTTGGTGGGGAGTCAGGGGAAGGGAGGTGATGGGGGGTAGGGTCGAACCCCCATAGTATAATCCCGCCAACATAAACTTCTCCCGGTCCCTGCAAATGGACGCCTGGGTCCCAATCCCTTGAGGGATGAGCTGAGGCCCTCAAGAGGGAAGACCCAGGCGCTGGGGCTTTCGACAAGTGCGGATCCCTGTCTCAGCGAGACCCAGACGTCCTCATCCGTCCCCTCCTCTTTCTCCTCCCACCCCCCTTGGAAGACAATTCTTGGGCTTTTATTTCAGGTTTTTTTCTGGATTTATGTGTGTTCTAGGGTTTTTTTTTTTTTGTCTTTTCTTTTGTTATTGTTCCTCTTTTTTGCTTTGTCTTTCCTCTTCGCCCCGCGCTGCCCCCCATCCAGTCCCATCCCCTCCCCACCCCGACCTCTCCTCCCCCTTCCCACCCCCCACACCCTCCCCAACCCCGCGGCACCCATCCAGAATGAACAAGCCCTTGATAGACGAGCGCCGCGCAGGCCCCCTGCGGACGGGGGTCATCCGACAAGGGGGAGGGGGCGGGTAGGGGCCCAGCGCGACCTCCGCCCACCTCCTCGTCAGCCCTCCCCCCTCCCACGACCCTCCCGCAAGGTTCCCCGCAGATCCCTGACGTGGTGAGGGGAGAGCGCTGCAAGCACTCTCCCCCCATGGACGAAGCGCCCCCCCCTCGGGGGTAGGGGGCAACAGAGGGGGAATGGGCTTGGGGGAAGGAGGGGGTGCTCCCTTCTTTGGCAGCTGAACATGGGGGGACCTGAGGGCGATGCCCTCCCCCCTTTACCCAGTAGGGGAGGGGGCTTCCCAGGGGAAGGGGTGGCTTAAAATTCCCAAGCCCCAGGAATAAGGAAGAGGGGAAGCGTGCAGGAATAGCCATGCTGGAGGGAGAAGGGTTTTCCTGGAGACAGAAGAGTTAGGAGAGGGGGGATCTTCGTGCAAAATGGATGGAGAGGTGGCCCAGGAAGGACTGACAGGAGGGAGGCTGTGCAAGAGGGCAAAGACTGGAGCAGGGAGTGGGGGACGTGCGAGCAAGGTGAGCAAGAAGCGAGCGTGCAGTCTTCTCGCCAGAAAAAGAAAAGAGGGCAAAGAGGTGAGAGAACAGGCAGAGGGTCTGCAAGAACCGTCTCTCCCCTGGAGCAGAAAACAAGGCGCCAAGCGAGAAACCAGAATACAGCGCAAGGAATGTGGACTGAGACCACTGTGCAGAAGAAAAGAGGGGTACAGTCCCCCCACCCAGGGAGATGGGAAAAGTCACCTGAAGATGACAAGAAGTGGAAACTCAAAAACGAGTGTGCCGCGAAGGCACGGTGTGCAAGGACATTGTTCAGGGAAAACACACTTGACTCGAAGAGAGCCATGGGAGTGCTGGGAGGGCGCGTGTGCCAGAGTGAGTGTGTGGGGAGGCTCACAAGAGAGTCAAGAGTGGAGCTGGACAAAGATTGGGAAGAGAAAGGTGGGAGGCAGTGGGAGTCCGGCAAAGAAGGGAGGGAGTGGGCATTTGAGAGAGAACCAGTTCCTGGGAGGCAAGATGCAAGATACGTGGTAAGAAGTGAGTGTGTGAGAAGGGGAGGGAAGGGTATGGGAGTGTCACGTGAGAGGGAGAGGTGGGAGAGATGGGTCCAGAAAGAATGGGGCGGGGTTCAAGGATAGGAAGGGAAAGTCGGAGGCAAGAGTGTCAGCAGAGGTGCACAGGCCAGCGAGTGTGCAAGGGCTGAACAAAGAGAAGGGTGTGCCAGGGGATGTGTGCAGAGTCTGTGAGTGGGCGAGGGAAAGGGTGTCCCAAGTGTGTCTGCAGCAAGGGCCCGGAGATTTCCAGAAGTGAGGAGTGTAAGGGAGGGCCGAGGGAAGAGTGTGCAAGCCGAGTTCCAGGGAGTCGGTGTGGAGCATGGGAACGGAAACGCAGAGTGCGAGAGAAACAGCGCGTGTTTGAGAGCTGAGAGGGCCTCGCAAGCGGGAAGCGAAGGTGGAGTGTGCAAGACTGCGAGAGGGCAAGTTTGTGCAAAATTGTAGCCCAGGGAGGGAAGAGAGGCAAGCAGGCGTGCAAAGGAGCGTGCAAAAGGCAGGGGGGGCTGCTGTGTGTGCTGGGAGAGGGGAAGGTGGGGCCTGGAGATGGGGGAAGGGTTGTTAGAGGGGCGGCAGGTGGTGGAATCTGAGGGCACTCCCTTCCCCTGTGGCCTGGGGGATGACCCCCCATCCAGTCAGGCTCAGGGCTGACCCTCTATGGCTCTGTCTGTCCCCCCCCAAAATCGACCCTTCCCTTCTCCTCCATCCCCCTCTGTAATTTCCTCCAGCCACCCCCTTCCGCTGCTCTCTGCTCTCTGTTTCACACACAGTCTGTGTCAGCTGCCCCCTCCTGTGAGGTGCGATGCCTGGCCAGGATCAGGCCATCTGGTGACCTCGGGCCTTGGGAGACGAGGGCAGGGAGCAGTTTTAGTAGAGTCCCTGGCCCAGGAGAGACAATGATGGTCAGGGGTCAGAGGTCAAGAGGCCAGAAGGCTCAAGGGTTCTGTGGACGGGCTGGTCCGTCCAGGCCAGCCATCACCTCTCCAGGAAAAATTTGAGAGCCCGGTCGATGTTCATGCGGTGGCCCACCCTGGTCACACCCAGATCGACATAGTCCTCCTTGGTCAAGGCGGGCAGGTGGGAACCGTCAATCTCGTGGTCCAGGAACTGGGCTCGGTGCTCAGCCAAGCCCAGCCACTCAAGCCAATCAGCCACGTCGAACTTGGTCCAGAACCCCAGAGGTTTAGCGCCAAAAGGCTTGTCCGGGGGCAGCGAAAGCAGGCGGGTTGGTGAGAGGGATCGCGAGGCCCCTGACAAGGCTCCACCAAGCCCCCCGGACATCCCAGGGTGCGGTGGCACAAAGACAGGGGCGAAGGGGTCAGCTGAGCCTCCTGCCCCTCCAGTGGGGGAGCTGCGGATGTCAAAGAGGCCCGGGTAGAGGGGTCCAGAAGGCAGGATGGGCAGGGACGAGGGCCGGGGCGCAGGGCTGACCTTGTGCTCCGAGGTGGGCAGCAGCGAGGGGCTGGGGGCCCTGCGGAGCAGAGGGGGCCGCATCTCGAACTCCACGCCCTGGAGGTGGCGGGTGGACGTGGAGGAGGAGGCTGAGGGCGAGGTGGCTCCTGGGGCCCCAGCGGCTGAAGGGGGGACCCCAGTTCCTGTGGGGAGTGGTGGCAGAGGTGGTTTGGGCCAGTTCTGAAACAGGCTGCTGACGGGTTTGGAGAGGAGTGAGGGCTGGGCGTCTTCAGAGAGTCTGCAAAGTGACAAGGGGCAGGGGTGGAGGAGAGGGGTTTGGAGGTCAAGGGTGGGGTGAGAAACAGGCAGAGGTCAAGATACAGGGAGAGGGGAAGAGAGACATGGGGTGGGGGCAGAGAGACCGAGAAGAGAGATGGTAAGAGAGAGGAGCGAGGGGGTATGACGAATGTCAGGACAGAGATGAGGGGAGCAGGGAGAGGGTGACAGTCAAGAGAGATGAAAGAAAAAGAGACATTAAGTGATAATAATAATAATCGCCACCACTTACTGATGCTCACGTGTGCCAGGCATTGTTCTGAGTGCTCTGCATATTGGATCTCAATTTAATCCCCATGACAGCCCTGATGCAGGTTACTATTATCATCATCATCATCGTCAGCACAGAGAGGTTAAGTAACTTGCCTAAGGACACACAGCCAGGAAGTGGCAGAGCCCAGTTATATGGCACCAAAGTCTGAGCTCTTAACCACTACTCTATACTGCCTTTCGGGTTATGGCCAGTCACAGCAGAGTGGAAGACAGGGAGACAGTGAGCAGGGACAAAGTGGATGAGCATTGGGGGGAGAGAAATGAAAGGGGATGGGGGACAGAGAGAGAGGGAGAGAGAGATGAGGAGAGGAAGATGAAAAAGAGAAGAAACAAGGGGAGAAAAAGGTTCCCCTCATCCCTTTTGCTGCCTCCAGAACAGTCCTACCTCAGGGTCTTTGCACTGGTGGTTCCCTCTGCCTAGCTCATTCTTCCCCCACTTACCATGGGTTGTGTTCCCTCCCCTCCTCCAGTCTCTGCTCATCATGCTGGTCACTTGAGAGACCTTCTCTAACCATCCCATTATTGTATTTTTTTTCCAGAGGATGACTGCAATGATTTTTAAAATTTTCTGGTCCCCATCCTGCCTCATGAGACTAGGAGCTCTGTGAGGGCACTGCTTTGCCCATCCTGCCCGCTCTGGGGTCCCGCTCACCCAGAAGGGCACCCAGCACATGGAAGGTGATAAACCAGTAGCCGGTGCATCTGTCGACTAAACTAAGCATCCTCTCCTCTACCCAGAAGACTTAAAAATAATCAGTGAGTTGCCTTAAGATCTCAAAGGCCTGATAAAACCACGTTTGAGTATCACCATGAGGACATCAGATCCTCAAACAGAATTAAAGTGAGTCCTGCAGATGGACAAGGGGATTGAAGAAGCCTTCCCCACTCTCTCTGTGTCTGAATCAGGAAGGTGACTCTACTTTCCCTAAGCCTAGAAAGTCCTGAATGACCTGGAACCTTATGGTGATTCAGGCTAGCTCGCTGCTGTGGGAAACTTCTGCAACCTCCCACATTTCCCCATCTGTATTTGCTGGGCTTTTGTAGGAGGCCCCTCCCCTCCCCATCTTGTAACAATGGCCCACATTTAATCCTCTCAAAAACCTCTTTAGGTGGGTACTATATGCTATCCCCCTTCACAGAGACGCGCATTCCTTTGCCTAAGGCCACCCAGTTAGAAAGTACAGGGCTGGGACCAGAATCCAAGATCTGCTCCAGAACCACACTCAGAACCGCTGTGCCCTAAAGCATCCTGTTTTGAGCTACACTGGGTTCAGGGGACTTGCAGATTTCAGGGACTGTCAGAACTGACAGCCCACCAATGAAACAGACATCAGCAAATTTGCTCCAGTCTCTTTTGCTAATAACTTTTTGTTCATCATCGGATGTGGGTTGTCATGGTGATGAGAGACCACAGAAGCTACTGAGATAAAGGGAAAACTTAAAGTTATCTGTGAAAGTATGTTTTCCTTGAGGACAAACGTCTGCAAGCCAGCCTAGTTTGTGTTGTTTCTGCCATCTGGGATCCTAAAGGGATACAGCTATGGGGAAGGTGGACTCTGGTACCCACAGCATCAGCCCCTGCTTACCTCTGCCGTTGCAGGGAAGAGGTCCTCTCGGGAACATAGCTGGCTCCCCCGTGGTGGCTGTCCCCGCTTCCCCCGCTGCCTCCCCGGGCCCACGGCAGAGCGCCACCAGCTGCCGAAGAGCCCCCGAATTGCTGAAGCTTGGAGCTGAGCTCACTGATGATACTGGCTTTCACTGTGGCCAAGGCTGAGGCCTGAGGCTGGGCCAGGGGCCCGGGCAGGGGTGGTGGCGGAGGGCCCGGGCCCTCCTCCCAAGGCAGCAGCTTCCGAGGCAGGGAGGAAGCCGATGGCAAGGGCACTGGTGGGCCTTCTGGCTCTACAGTCACTGGACCCCCGGGTACACCCACTGTCGATGGTCCAGAGCAACCACTCAGGGCCAGCAGCCCATCGGTTCCAGCCCCTGTCACCGAGACAGTGGGGCTGGTGGGAGTGATAGGGTCGCGGAGTCCCCCACTGGGGCTGGGCCGCAGGCCACCACTGGCCCCCAGTGCCCGACCCCGGAGCTTAGAGGGAGTCATGAGCTGTGGGGGGTATGGTGGGCCAGGAGTACCACTCCCACCAAAGGCCTGGCCATCCAGGTAGGCCACATAGGTGTCCAGAAGCTCAGGCCCACTGGCCACACTGGCCCCGCCACCACCACCTCCTGCGCTGCCACCACCTTCAGCAGACAGGCTGCTCAGCGTGGATGCGCTGCTGATGGTCTCCAGAGGGTGGTCACTACTGCTCCGACTGTCCACCTCCTCAATACCAGAATCGGTGCCAGGTGGAGGGTCTGGGCCAGGCTGTGGGGCCGGGGGAGCTGGGGCGGCTGGGGCAGGTGGGCCTGGAGGAGGGGCGTCCCCAGGAGCTGCAGGGGCCCCCTGGGTCAGCGTGGCCACCTCACTGTCATAGGAAGTCAGGCTGGATGCGGTGGAGTCCAGGGTGGGCGGGGCAGAGGCAACGGCAGGGGGTGGCACAGGGGGCAACGGGCTGGTCGGGGTGGGTGGGTCTGGCAGTGGGTGGGGAGGCCCAGGCGTGAGGGGCGACTCGGGCTTCTCGAAGCTGTTGGAGAACTCTAGAGGTGGGGGCAGCGGTTCCACAAAGAGGAATTCACCGTCTTCCACGTCCACGGAGGGGGCAGGGGGCGGCAGGACCAGCAGAGGAAGCCCGTTCTCTTCACTGCCGCGTGGGGAGGTTGGCGAAGGGGGTACGGACCGGCGTGGGCTGGGAGGCGGAACCCCAGGCCCATCCTCTGAGGGGGGCCCCCTCCCTGCCGCCCCAGTGGCCCGGGGCTGGCAGTTCTCAAGGAACCGCACGTGTAGGGGCAGCCGCTCGGGCTCCTCAGGGGCTGCGGACCTCCAGGCCTTGCTCACCCCCGGGTGCGGGGCGGGGGGCTCCGAGCCCAGCTGTAGCAGGAGGGGCCCCACCCCGGGGGCTGTTGGCGGCAAGCGGTGCAGCAAGGAGCGTCGGGCTGCTGGTGGGCTGGCCGGAAGGGACTTTTCCTGGCTGCCCAGCCCTGCGCGGTACCCCAGCTCCCGGCGGGCGGGGTCCGGTGGGGAGGCTCCCCAGAGACGCAGCAATGGCTCGTGGTGGGCGTGGGGCGAGTGGTGGTGCGGGGTGGGTGGCGGGGCCTCGTAGCGGGGCGATGGGGGCCGTGGAGGCGGCTGGGGGGCCCCGCCGCCCTCCGAGGACTCCTTCAGCGCCCGCTCTCGGGCGGCCAGGGCCAGCCCGAGCGGGGAGGCGGGGTCCAGGGCCTTGCCGGTCAGCGGGTGGACCAGGGGCCGCGGCGGCAGGAAGCTGGTGAAGGCGCTGCTGCTCCCGCTGCCCGCGTAGGCTCGACCGCCCGGCCCGTAGCCCGCGTAGCCGCCGCCACCGCCGGTCTCCAGCCGGAGGTAGGGCTCGGCGGAGAACATGCCCTCGTCGATGGACTTGGAGTGGCGCAGCCGGGGGCCCGGGGGCGCCCCCGCCCCGAGCACGCCGTCGCCGCCGTCCTCGTCCCCCGCGTCGGTGGAGAGGAAGAGCGTGGAGCGCCGGCGGGCCTCGCTCTGCCAGCCCCCTTCTCTGCGCGCCGCCCCCACCAGCGCCGCTCCGAACTGGCTGGTGAAGTCGAGGGTGGCGGGGCCGCTGGGCGACGTGGGGGTGGGCACGGGCGAGGGCGAGGGCGGCACGGCCGGGCCGGGGCTTTGCGCGGAGGGGCCGCCGCCGGCCTCGGGCTGGCTCGGGGGCTCCGCCTCGGTGCTGCTGCCCTGGCTGCTGCGGCCGCTGCTACTGGTGGACGGGGCCTTGATGATGATGGTGGGGATGGGGATGGAGTTCTTCTCCGAGGGGGCGGCCGGCGGCGGCTGCGGGGACGCGGGCGAGGGGGCGGGCGGGAGGCCGCCGCCCTTCTGGGGCTCGCCCTCCACTTTGGTCTGCTTGACCAGCGGCCCCTTGCGCCCGCGGCCCGAGCGCGCGGGCACGTACATGGCCGCGCTGGCCGCCCGCGGGGGCAGCTGAAAGTAACGCAGGGCGGGGGCCTGGGGGGAGCCGAGGCCCCCGCCCGCGCCGCCATGGTGCGCCGGGGACGGGGCCCCCGGGGTCGGGCTGGGCCCGCCGCCCCGCCAGCCGCGCAGGCTAGGCTGGGGCCCCAGAGCCAGTCGCGGCGGGGGGTCGTCGGGGGAGCCCCCGGTCTCCATCTCCGGCGGGTGAGGGGGGTGGGCGTGGTGGTGGTGAGGCTGCGGGGGCGGGGCGTGGTGGTGGTGGTGGTGGGGAGGGTGGTGGTGGGCCGGGGGCAGAGGGCCGCTGTGGTACAGGCTCTTCTCTCGGCCCCCTACACGGGTGTCGGGAAGGGAGGGCCCGTCAAAGGACGAAGGGGAAGAGGCGGGGAGGGGGCCACCTGAGCCGGGGTTGAAGGCCCCTCCGCGGGGTGAGGGGGTGAGCCGTCCGGAGGAGGAGGGGGCTGGAGGTGTGCTGTAGGGGGGCTCCGGTGGGGACGTGGTGGGTGGCGGGGGGATGTCCTCCGAGCCAGGCACAGACAGGCTGCGGCTGAACTTCATGGCTGGGGGTGCTAGGTAGGGTCTATCATCTTCTGCAGCCCCTGGGAAGACACCGAGGATCCAGGAGTGGGGCCTGGGGTGGGCGCTCTCCTTGCTCCCCTTTCCCACAGCACTACGATACTACCATTAATAACAACAACGACAGTGGGGCCCGGTGTAAACTAAGAACCGCACATGGTTTAGTCAGTCCAGCGCTTCCTCAACTGCGGTAAATCCAAATCGGCTTGATAGTGATACAGGTTGTGCACTGCACAACAGCAACCGCCAGGGGGAGCACCGGGCGGAGAGAAATTTAGATGAACTTTCTCCCCACACCAGGAGGGGGGTGCCCTTCTCCACGTGCAGAAAGGCACAGTATATGCTAGTAGTGGTGGCTTGGCATGAGCAAAGGTGGCTTAAGTCAGGAAGAGATGCCACTTTTATATGCATAGTTGTAAATGTTTTTCCATGTGTATGCAGAAATGAAATGTAATTAGCACATCAAACCTGTGATATCACAGACAGAGCTGCTTGGAATGAGGCTAATGTCTGAAAGGGAGCCGACTTGTAGGTTAGATTTACAGGTAGCTGCTATTTGGTACATGATAAGATAGTAGGACAGCCTCACAGATGCAAGCTTCACACTGGTGGACTGTGCACGCTGGAAGCTGAGGAACACTACATCCTGCCCACCAGAGAACGGGGAGTGGAGGGGAGGACCGAAGTCCTCGGCCTACTTATCACTGTCAGGGCTGTCTCTGACCATCTTCTTGCCTCTGACTGCTCTCTCTCCCTTGATGACAGCTTCATCCACTACTTCTCTGCTGCAGATTCCTGCCCAGTCCTCTCCCCTGAGCTCCAGGCTCCTATATCCAAATGTCACAGCCACTCGGATGCCTCACTGGCATCTCAAACTCAGCTCCTGCTCTCCTCCCACAGTCTCCCTCATCTGAACAGATGGTGCCTCAGTCCTACCTCAGGACCTTTGCACTGGTTGTTCCCACCACCTGGAGTGCCTTTCCTCCATAATTCCCATGCCCCCTCCCTCCATCTCCATGGTTTAGCTCAACCTGCCCCCAGCACTCCTGATCTCTCTTATTCTAATCTACTGTTTTTTAGAGTACTTACCACTGTCAACATACTATAATATTCTTGTTTGTTATCCTTATAAAATATTCTCTGTCTTCTCCTGCTAGAAATTAAGCTCCATGAGGGCAGGACCTTTAGCGTGTTTGGTTGACAGACAAATCTCTAGTAGTCTAGGACAATGCCTGGAATATAGTAGGTGCTCAATAAGCATTTCTAAAATGAATGAATGAATGGATGGATGGAGTCAGTGTAAGAGAGGAGAAACCAGGGTCTGGTAGGGGGTTTGACTCACTGCTTCCAGGCAAGGACAATAATGTCCCTATTTTCTAGGTGCAGAGACCGATGCCCAGAGAGGTGAAGCCTCCTGCCCCATGTCACACAGCTGGGATGGACAAGAGCCAGGATTCAAACCCAAGTTTGCCCAGAAAGCCTGCCTGACTTTCTTGCCCAACTTGATGGAATTGTGGTCATGTATGGAGTACAAAAGAACATTTCCAGGTCCCCTTGTTTCTTCTGTAAACTGTCACTCTCCTAGCCTCCCCATTATATCTCCTCCGCTATCCATTATACCCACCCTCCCTTGTGACATACCAATAGATTTTTGGCGGAGCATAAGTCCAGGTCCTGGAGGCAGGTAAGAAGGGCGTTCATAACTTGGCTGGGAGCGGTGATGGGGATCGAAGCTCGACTTTGGGGTGGCAGTCACAGAGGAGAGAGAAAAGATAACAGAGATAGATCAGTCAGGGCATGAAGAGACATGGCTTCCCCACACGGTCAGCCCCATTCCCCACCAGGCGTCTGCAGAAGGGAGAGGAGCATGGAGGCATTCTGGGGAATGGACAGGTTTCCGAGTCCCAGCAGCAGGGAGAAGGAAAGGAAAAGCAAGAAAGGCCTTGTTTGCTCTGCTTCCAATACTGACCACTAATCTGTTCCAGTCACCAGCGTTTGCCTGGACAGCTGCAGCGGCTACTCCTTTGGCTCCTGGCTACCATCCTTGTCCTCTCCACCCCTTCTCTGGTGTGCTTTCCACAGAAGAGCCAGAGGGATCTTTCACAAAGGAATTCAGTCCCTGCTATTGCCCGGCTTAAAATCGTACAGTAAATAACATCCCACACCAGTTGGGAGGGGATCTAAATTCCCAACCCTGCTCTATAAGGCCCTCTGCGGTAAATACTGCTGGTATCCGCCCAGATCCGCTTGGCGGGGATGCTGTGTCCATCACCAGCTGCTGTGACAGTCACCTGCCTGCAGCTCTTGGCCACCCCTTGCTCTGAAGCATCACCCTCTCTCAAAGGAGCTGACAGGTCCAACAGCAATGTGTCTCACCCTCGACCGCATTCTGGGCACAGCCGCAGCCAACAGCTGACTGGCACGGAGGTCCAAGGCAGGATTAACCTAGCAGTGCGATTCACACCCCAGCACCCCCTGAGGTTTCAAGCTGAAGGCGGACTCAGCGGGGACCAGGTGTGCTGACCTCCGCGGCCCATCCTGCCCACCTTCCCTGCAGGTCTCTGTCCTTAGGAAGCTATCTCAGACTCTGCAGAAAACCCAGCAAAGGCACACACCCTGTCCGATCCAGCAGCACCTACATCTCCTAGTCGCTCACTCACACCCAGCCACGTCCATCGTCCCTGCTCCTCCAGTGCTGCCAGGTTTGCCCCCCGCTTTAGAGCACATGCAGACCCTGGATTCTGTGCAATGGTTCTTCCTAATCACCACGCATTCCCTTCTGTCTTCACTCACGCCCTCCACTCAAATGTCTCTCCCAGTTCCTGTCTACTGTATTTCCCTGGCCCGTTTTCTTCCTGGTACTTATCTCCACCTGAAGTGATCTCTTTATTTGCTTACTGTCTGCCTCCCAGCCTAGAATATTAGCTTCCTGAAGGCACCATAGATACAGCATCTAGGAGGGTCCACAATACTTTTACGGGAAACGTTTTAATTTCCCTTAACATCAGAAGGAAAAAAGTGAATCCAATCCAAACTGGAAACACTCATATTTGCACAATACAGTCTCACAAAATACGATTTGCCTTTTTTATTTTAGGATGGAGCAGCTCACGAAAGCAAAAATGCCCCAGTCCCACAGAAGTCACTGTGCGGCCTGCCTGAGAGTAGCTACTTTGTCTGTCTTCCTCACTGTCAGATCCCCAGTCCCCAGACAGGGCCTGATGCTTTACAGCTCACGTCAAATGCGGGAGGAGCCGGAAGAAAAAGAGCCGACATCAGAGCCTGATTGCCCTGCTCCCGCCAGGTGACCCGGTATGTCTCCCTTCTATGTCTTTGAGCCCAGAAGTGCAAGAGACAGGAAATCCTGTGCGGATGGAGTGTCTGCCTTTGGTGTGTGCCCCTCATTGATCTCACCTCCCGCCATACCCCCTCCAGCCTAATCACCCCCAGTTCTCTGAATTTCCTCTGCTGTTCCTTACCTTGCTGCCTCAGCGTATGCTGTTTATTCTGCCAGGAACACCCTTTCCTGTGCTCTGCTTAGAAGAACTCCCTGTCCTTCTAGTCCCCCACCCTGGCCTGCCTGCCCCTTTCCTCTATGCCCAATAGCCACTAGCCATTCAGATATAAATTAAATTAACTAAAGTAAGTTAAAATAAAAAACTCCCTTCTTCTACCCACTGGCCACATTTCAAGCATTTGTCACACATGGCTGGTGGCTACCATATTGGGCGGTAGAGGCACAGGACATTTCTGTCATCACAGAAAGCTCTATGGAACAGTGTTGCTCTAGACCCTCACAGGTGCGTCTGGTCTACCCATCTCACTGCTGTCACCACCTGGATTGAGACGTCTATTTCTGTGTTTGCCTCATTCATTCATTCATTCCACAGGTATTTATTGACCACATGATCCACGCTAGAGACTGTTCTAGGTGTTGCAGATACAGCCATGAACAAAACAGACAAAAGTCCCTGCCTATTTGAAGGACAGGCAAAATAAGTTAGTAAAATATAATGTGCGAAAGAGAGGTGAGTGACAGAAGGAGACTGTAATTTAAAATAGGGTAGTCAAGGAAGGCCTTGTTGTGAAGATATAATTTGAGCCAACTCCTGAAGTAGGGAGCCATGCATATATCCAGGGGAAGAGTATTCCAGGCAGGGGAACAGAAAGTGCAAAGGTCCTGAGGTGGGAGTGAGTCTGTTGTGCTCAAGAAATAGTCAGGAGGCCAATGTGTCTGCACTGGGTGAGCTGGGGGCAGAGGGATGGGGGCTGAAGTCAGGGTGGTAGAAGGGTGATACTGGGTGGGGTCTTGTAGTTTCAAATGTTTCCTCCCTGGAGTGGCTTCCTTTTGTGAGTCTGCATCGTAACTCCTGCCATGTCTTCCGGTTCAGCTATGATAATTATTTGCTTGCTTGTTTATTGTCTGGCTCCCTAGGCGTTTAGCCTACTCAATCCCCATTCTACTCTTCTTCCTTAATAAGAAAACTCCAATCTTACTGAGTACCTACTGGGGGAGCACATTTCCCTGCTTCTCTTGCGGCCAGGTGTAGCCATGGGGCTGAGGTCGGCCCAGACGCATTAATGTTTCATTGTTACTTCTCGGAAGTTTCATTAGAGGTAACCCAGGAAGCAACAATATGCCCTCCTTTGCCCTTCTGTCTTTCCAGTTTTCCTTGTTCCTGCCACCCGGAATGCTAGTGCAATAGCTAGAGCTCCAGCAGCAATCTTGGACTATGAGGTAACTTTGTGGTTGAAACAAGGCTAAGGTGGTGGAGCAGAAAGTGAGAAAGATCCTATGTCTTCATGACCATGGAAGCTGCCACATCTGCCTTGGACTCCCTACTCCAGAGTTCTTTAATATAATAGAAATATAAGCATTTATTTTGCTCCAGCCACTGTTATTGGAGATTTCTCTTACATAAAGCAGAACCCAGTTCTGTAACCACCACCACTCCAAAACATAAATTCTCTAAGGGAAGTGACTTTGACTGGTTCACTTCTACACCCACCAGGGCCAAGGAGCAGATCCAGCACATGGTAGGTGCTCAGTAAATATTTGTAAAATGAAGGGCACTGATAAGATGGGGGAACATCCTGAAGGCAAAACCGCAGTCCTGTTCCTTTGAACCCCCCGTGAAACAGCACTGGGTCAGCCCCAGGAAAGCATCAGGAAGTGTTTCCTGAGCGCATGCCCACCTTGACTGCTTCCCCCTATTCAGCTTTCAACTGACTGCCGTGCTCAGCCTGCTCGACTCTCCTCGACTTTGTTGAGTATTTTTCTCAAACATTCTCCTTAAGTCCCTTCTTCCTAAGCCTCAGCCCCATACCTTGCTTGGTTTTTTTCCACCCTGTCCTGCAGCTGGTAATGGTCTGTGTGATATCAGGGGGCCAAACCCCGCAAAAGACGGCTTGTGTAGTGACCCAGAGAGAGGGAAGTGGACAGTGAAGGGGGACCCTGCGCAGGCCAACTTGCCGCTGCTTTGCATGTACGTCTTCACGGCATCCTCCAACAAACCTGTGTGCTGGGCGTGGTTACAGCCATTCTCATGGCTGGGAAAGAGGCTGTGGCTCAGAGGAGAAGGGTCATGTCCCTGGTCGGCCACACAGTAAGGGGGAGGTGACAGAGCCATTGGAGGAAAAAGACTGGAGTGGCTAGAAAATTCCAAGATCAGATAAGAGGGGAGAAGAAAAGAGAAGGACCGAAGAGTGAAAAGCCAGCAGTGTGACCAGTAAGAAAGGAGGCAGGGACCATGGAAGGCAGAGCCCAGGCAGGGGAGGACCAGCGAGGAGATGATGGAGGGGAGGGAAGGCGAGAGAGGTGTCCCGCACAGACAGGGGGGTGAGGAGGGCTGGGGGCCAGAGTGAAGGGGGAGGGGGTAGGATGATGCGGGAGGGGCAGAGTGACCCAGGAGGGGTGCCCCTGACTGAGGAGGGTGCAGAGCGAGGGAGAGGCGTCAGGTTGGCATGCTGACAGAAGACACTTCTAAGGACAAGAGGAGGGATCAAACAATGGGTCAGCTCGGCATCAGACTGACTGCCCGAGGGACGGACTGACTCAAGGTGGGACAGGATGACCTCCATCAGCAAACCAGGAGCATCTCCTTGTGCAGAGGGAGCAGCCAATCCAAGTGCCGAGGTGCACGTGACACCACCAGCTGCCAGGCAAATTCCTCCCCAAGGGGCAGCCCTCCTCCCGTGACACCCGGTGGGTGGGCTGCCGGTCTGGTGCCTCAGTGGCACAGTCCGTGCCCCGGGGCTGAAGATGAGCAGAGACATGACAGCCCCTGAAAGGGGTGAGGCGGGAGAGAGGAAATGGGGGGCAGGAGGGGCAGACAGACAGAGACAGAGTGGGAAGGAGGCAGAGATGGGGTCCAGAGCAGGGAGAGACAGGAGAGGAAATGAGACAGCCACGGGGAGACAGAGGGACCCAGCAAGGCAGGAGAGAAAGGCAGTCCTGAGGGGCCCGGAAATGAGAGGCTCAGAGCTGTCCCAGGTGAGAAAGAAACAGAGAATACACCAAGTGGGCAGAGGGCATGGTAAAAGGAGTCAGAGGGAGAAACTGGGTCCAGAGAAAGGCAGACACCGGCTCCCAGACAGATGCTGGCAGGGGCCGTGGTTGGGGGGTGTTAGAGCAGGTGACAGACACAGCAGCCAAGGCCAGAGCCACCTAGGGCGAGGGCAGACAGCTGGACAGCAGAGCCCAAGAGGTGCCCTGACCTACAGTGGCTCTGCCTGGTGTCAGTGCCCCACTCTGCACAGCTGTGGGTCTCCCCCCTCTTAGGTTTTACGCAGAGGTGAGTCTTTCAGGGATTGTCAAAATCACCCAATTCTTAATTTTTTAAACAGCAGTGTCTTGTACAATATTTTGCTCAGTTCTCTGTTGTGCACGCCCAACAGAGGAGGCCTCAGTGCGACCCCAGCCCCGCACGGCCCGCCTGCCCCCCACCATGGTCTAGGCACAGAGGGAGGGGCCCAGGCAGGGGGGTGAAGAGGGGAGAGAAGCCAGAGCAGAAGGAAATGGAGACACAGGGAACAAGACCACACACTGAGGGAGTCCGTGGAGATGCAGAAATGTCAGGAAGGGGCCCGTATGTTGACTCAGAGTGGAGATGAGAATGGCTGGTAAGGGAGTGGGGGCAAAGATTGGGTGGCGGGGGGTGGAGAGAAGCCCCAGCCTGAGAGGGAGGCCCAGGCCCCAGAAGGGAGAGAACAAGAGGGGAGGTCCAGCTGGGAAAAGGAGTGCTGGCCTCAGGCCCAGAGGGAAGGGGGGCCCCATGGGAGAGCTCAGAAACGGGACTTGCCCTCTCTGTTTGGCACTGAGCGTGGCACGCTGTTGCGGGGTCTCTGGGGCTCATGCAGGCTCACTGGTTGAGTCACAGTGGGGCCTCCAGTTTGTTAGATGACGGCCTGGGGGCTCACCATCTGGTGAGAGGCTGATCTCATTCAGTCCTAGTGGGAGTCAGCGAGACTTTAGCCCCATCACACAGAGCAGGAAACTGAGACATGGAGAAAGTAGTGTGGTCCATGTGGCACAGGACTTGAGAGGGAGTCAGGATTTGAAGGCGGCTCTGCCTGGCTCGACCACACGCGCTTGTGACCATCCCACAAACCTTGCGTCGGGGAGGTGGGCACAGAGGATGACCACAGGGTCCCAGGGTTTTCAAATTCCTTGAGAAAGCAAGGACAAGTGTAAAGTGCGGGCTTACGGCACACGCTCTGCTGAGCACTACGTGGCCAAGGACCTGCTCCTCTAAATCTGAAAGAATCTCTAGGGGTCCGAGTACAAAATCTGCCACCTGCTTTAGGTTCTTACAGAAGTATTAGATCTTTCAGAGTCGGTGGTCTAGCATGTGGCTGTGGCTAGGCTTCAGGAGGCCTGCACACTTAGGAAAAAATTCCATCTTTTTTTTCTTATCGTCCAACTAAAACACATTTCCTCGATGAAGGATGTGGGCAACAAACCACACTGGTCTTAGCAAAGACCTGCGTCTGTACCCCCAGCAGAAATGAGACGGTTCTATATCCCATGGTCCGTGGTTGCAGAGTTCTTGAAATTGTGTCTTAGGCTTTTCACGACTTTGGAATTAGGCTTGTTGAGATCGGGCACCAGGTGTTCCTGGCTAACAGGTTGACAAAAAGGCACAGCTATGACTATATCATGAATTTTGCTTTTGAAAAATATTTTGATGACCTCATTTCAGTGTAACTGGCTTCTTTTCTTTTCTTAATCTCATGCTCTTAAAAGCATTATTCTGAGGCCTGGGCCAGCCTGTCAAAGGGGCCACGGTCCCTCAAAAGCCAAAGAGCCCAGTTTTAGAGTAAATGGCCCCCCTTGGCCACCAGGTGGTAAAGTGCAGCCTGTAGGAAGAGGCTTTTAGAGGGCAGGGTCAGAGGGCAAAGAAGAAGGAAGTGCTAGGAGAGGAAAGGCTGTGTGCGGCCTCTGGGGGAGAGGCCGTGGCACTGGGAGGCACTGGCAGGGCTGGTGGGGGATGTGCTCCTGTAAAGGAGCAGAGCCCAGCTGTGGGGACAGCCGGGCAGGGGTCAGCAGGCCCACTGGAAGAACTGGGGCTGTGGCTAGACCATGGATCCAGGCGCCTGACCATCTGGGTTGAAATACTGACTCCCTGTCAGCCTCAGTTTCCTCTCCGTAAGTGAGCTAATAACCATGCGTAACTCACAGGATGATTCAGGAATGAATGAGATAGTCCACGCAAAACGTAGTGTCCAGAGTATGATCAACACCTACTACAGACTAGCCTCTGTCACAGGGAAAAGCAGGCAGAGCAGAGACAGAGATGATAATTAATATTTTAATAACTACCGCTTGTTGAGTACCTATTATTACAGAGCTGGGCCTGCGCCAGGGATTGCCGTCTGTGACGTCACTGTACCTTCCCTGAGACCCTTGAGGCGGAGCAGAGACACACGAGAGAGAGTGAGGGGCAGGGATGGCAAGTGGCATGAGGAAATGAGAGATGGGATTTGAGGGGGGAGTAAGGAGGAAATGGGTGAGCACAGAGGAAAGGGGGCCCCCAGACTGGGGAGAAGGGAGCGGATCCCAGGAAGTGTGGTGCCCTCCTAGACAGTACGAAACACAGCGGGGTCAGGAAGGGCTTGCAAGGAGAGGGACTGAGGCTCCAGGTTGGAGTGTGCACCCCCAAGCTCCCCTGCCCCACAATGTACCCATTGCCCAGACCAGGTCCCCTACCTCCGTGGCAAAGAAGCCTTTGGGCCTGTGTTTGCCCAGGGATGCAAGGCCTCCGGGCCCAGGACTCTCGCTTGCACTGATGGTCTGCTGAGCTGCCGCCAAAATTTCATCCAGTTTGTCTGGGGAGAGGCAGAAGACAGGCGGAGAGCAGCGAAATGAAGCTGGCGTTGGCCTCCCGCAGTCAGAGCTGCCGGGAGCCCACACTGCGTTTCGTATGAACCAGACAAGGGCACCCCTGCCTCATCCTGGTGGACAGACAGCCCGATACAGACAATCTCTATAGAGAGCAGCAGGCAGTACCCAGAGAAGGACAAGGGTAACGCGGCGTGGCGTTGGGAAAAGGAGAGTCTTCCTGGGAGGGAAGGTGGCGGGACGGCAGGAGGGACATGGGGAAACAGAGGTGGGAGGGCAGGCTCAACGCCTGGGGCAAGGCCGGGGTGTGAAGGTGCCCGGGCAGCAGCAGGGATGCGGCTGGGGTGTGGGGTAGTGGGGGTCGGGGGCCCTGGCATCCCGGGGAGAGGGCAGGGCCGTCTTACTGAGAGCCATCTGATACACGGTCCGCTTTTTCTCCATGCTGGGCACCGGCGCAGGCTGCTGCTCATACTCTGTGGGCAAAGAACGCGGATGAAGCCCAGGGGCGCCCCCTGGCGGCGGGGCAGAGTGACTCGGCCGGCGGGCGTGCGCAGGCGCGCGTGGGGCAGTGAGGGCCCGCGGCGCGGAGGGGCGAGTCCCCCGGCGGGGTCGGGACCGGGGCCCTCCCGCCAGTCCTGTGCCCACTCACCACTCTTCTTCTTCCAGGGGGAGACTAGCCCGGGGGAGAGGCAGTAGAGGAGCCAAGCGTTAGGATGTCAGGGGGAGGCGAGGGGCCCCCTCTCTGGGACGCCCGCCTCCCTCAGGGCCCCGTGGGGTGGCACAGCTGCTGGATCTGATCTGTCCCCTGTTGGGGAGACGGGACCAGCTGGTCCACTGGGCCCTGACTGGAGAAAGAGGCTGGCCTTCCTTTCCATTAGTGGGGGCAGTGGGGGCTAGTGGAGGGAGATGGAGAATGGGGCAGGGATGGGGGGATGGGACAAGAAGAGGGGCTGGAAAGGAAACAGGGACCCGCAGAGAGGGCCAGACAGACCCAGAGAGAGACCCCGACAGAAAAACATGTAAGAGGACAGAGGAAAGTCGACTCTCAGACGCCCCTTCCCAGCCGCACACACGCAGGCCAGGGAGAGTCCGGCCCAGCTACCGGGGGGCCAGGATGAGCAGGAGGACACTAACAAACTCAAGGGATGCTCCGGCCTCCTTCCGCCCCCACCCTCTCCAGCGTCTGCTGCCCAGCAGCCCCACAGGCTCACCCATCTCCTCCAGCTCTGAGGTCATAGACTTGGAACGCAGGGAGATGGCTGGGGGTGGGAGCCGCTTAGCCTGCTGGGGAGCTGAAAAGGTGACAGCGGTGGTGAGGTGTCATACCAGGGAAGAAGGCCGCGACCCCCTATGCCCCCCCACAGTGCTCCCAGGGCTCAGAGGATAGCTGCCACCAGCATGCTGGGCCCTCCATGCCTCAGTTTCTCTTCAGAAGGGTCATGAACAAGCAGCCCTGGGGAAGGGAAGGCTGGTGGCGGGAACATCAGGCAATTAGGACTTCTTGGGGTCTTCAGTGGGAGTGGGTCCCCAGGCCTGGCCACACGAGTGGGTGGAGGAGCACCTTTCTTGCGGACAGCCTCATCCATGTCCGGGTGCCTGGTGACCATCACCACCTTGACCATCAGTGTGTTGCCCCCCTGGCGGATCATGTTCACCACCTGCCGGTGGCCGACCTTCACCACATTCTGCCCGTTCACCTGTGGCCCAAACACCCCCGGACCACAACGAGGAGGTGCGGGGAGGGTGCTTTCAGCTTCAGAGTCCCGACAAAGCGGCTTCCTGCCTGGCCCCATCTGTGGCACTGTGGGCCGCTCCTTCCTCCCTCTGACCCTCTCCGCCACCCTGTCCCCATGCAAGTGCCAGGCCACACCTCTCGGTTCCATCGCTCTCCTGGCCCCAGGGGTGGGGAAGGGGCCCGCCCAATTCGCCTCTCTCTCCCTCCGTGTCCCGCGCCTCCCCACCCCCGCCATCGTGTGTGGCCGGGACAGATCTGGGGGACAGATCTGACATCTTTTGAGCTGTCTCAAAAGGCCTTTAGATGTTATTATTGAAGAAAGCAGAGGCTGGCAGGGGGCTGGGACACCTGGTGCCAAAGGGGGATCTGGATTTAGGCAGCCAGATCCTGGTGTGGATCACATGGGGTCTGGGGATTTGTCACCAGGGTCCCAGGGGAGAGAAGGGTATCTGTGGAAGGTGAGGCTTGGAGAGGCCTTTGGGCTGGGGCCAGGACTCACCTCGATGAGGAAGTCTCCCATTCGCAGTCCCGCCCGCCATGCCACGCCACCCTCGTCCACTGACTCCAGATACTGCAGCGCCGGGAAGGCTGGGGTAGGGGTGAACTCCTCGATGGGGGTCTGCGCTGCAGATGGGGAGGAGTCGGCGGGGTCGGAGCGGAGGGGGTGGAGAGGCCGAGCAGGGGATGGGGCTCAGACCCAAGTCACAGAGGCCTCGCCGTAGCTGAGGGCCCAGCAGCCCCAGGTGGGGTGGTGGGCAGGCTGGGGTCCCTGCCCCTGTCCATCCCCCTGGGTCAGAGAGCCCTTCTCCCATCCCCTCGCCGGCCGGCACTCACCCTTGGCCCCCCGGAGCACGAACCCAAACCCCTCACTGTCCTTCTTCTGCAGCAAGACTGTCTTCTCCTTAATGACGTAATCGCTGGTGGGGAGGGGAGGGGAGAGGCGGGTGGGGCGGGTGGAAAAGGGGCCATGAGACACAGAGCCTCCGCCCCATGGCACCCCGGTGACCTGAGCCCTGGCTCCAGAATCATTCATCCTCACCCACCCCGTGCGCCTTTGCAGCAGCCCTGACAGGCCTCCCCCTCAGAGCCCGGAGTGCTGGCTCTCCCACTCACTCCTCATTCATCCATCCACCCATCCATTCACAGCAGTTGAGCTCCCAAGCCCACTGTGTGCCAGGACGCCGCAGTGCGAGCAAGGGCGAGAGCAGCCGCCAGACCCCCAGGCAGCCTGGCCTGAACCCTGCTAGCCACTTCTGGCTGTGACCTTGAGCCTACGACTCTAAACCTTTTGGGCCTCAGTTTCCTCATCTCTAATGGGGGGACAATGATGGGCCCAACCTGGCGGGGTTGCTAAGAGAGTTCAGCACACGGAGGGCTCAGCACGTTGCACCTGCTCAGTGGATCCTGCTCTTGGGCCAAGTTATTAAGTGAGAAGAACGTGTGCACGTCGATGATCCGCCTCCCAACTCCGCGGCTATATATATATATATACCACAGTAACATCTCTCCACGTCCCGAGCATACTGCTAACATTGCTTATTCAGCACTGTCCAAAGGGGTGGCCACTAGCCGAACGTGGCTGTTTATATGTAAATGAATTAAAAAATTGAAAGATTCAGTTCCTCAGTCTCACCAGCCATGTTGCAAAGTGCCCAGTAGCCACATGCGGCTAGTGGCTACCGTGCTGGACAGCACAGACACAGAACATCGCCATCGCCACAGAGAGGTCTAGCGGCCAAGCACTGACTTACGTATTCCCCAGCGTATCTCAAATCCACCTCCCTCATGTACTCAGTAGATTCTAGTAAAAGGCAAACTACTTGTGAATATGTGGATGGTTCCCAGTAAGGCCCCCAAAGCCTGCCAGCACATTTAGGGAATGCCCACATACCCAGAGTTCAATTAAACGCAGACACGGTCCAGCTTTCTCAACACCTGCCTGGGCTGGCTCGGTTAACGGCCCCAAATCCTTGATGTCACCACTGTGTACCTCAAGATGACACAGCCATTCCATTCCAGGCTCCTCGGTATACAACAAGAATACCCAAACCTGGCTTTAGCTCTATTCTCAGAAGACCCAAGGACCCCCTGGGTCCTCCAGAGCATCCTGCAGCCCAGTCCAAACCCCATCCAGCGCACGCGCAGTCCCCAATCACATCCCAGTAATGGCCACCGGCCCCAACACACTCCAATAATAGCCAGGCATGCTCCCCACGCGATCCAATTACCCACCCCCACCGATGGGCCAGAGCAGCCCTCCGCAAACCCTCCAGTGTACTTCCCTAACACGCCATGCTCAGGGATGCCCCGATAATGCCTCCCCTCACTCTGATCTCCGTATACTCCCACTACACGCTCCCTCAACACATCCCAGCACACATCAATGATACCCACTGGGCTCCTACTGTGTTTTGCTACCCACCCGTACAAGCACCCCTGTGTAGACCCCCATGACTTCCACTGTCAAATCCACACATTTGTGTCATACGGACAGTGCTCCGCCCATGAGCATGTATGGCAGCCCTGCACCCCCTGCCACCACCCTGCACGTGCGCACAGATAGACGGACCCCTTCCAGCACCCGGCCTTGCTCCAGGTTCACCGTGGCCCAGTAATTCACCACACCACACCCACCATGTCAGCCCAATCTCATACTCAACCCAGGAATGGGCCACCATTGTAGTGGGAGGAGGGGGTATGGGAAGGGGACGGAAGGGGTTGGCAGGGGTGAGGGAAGGAGGGGAGGAAAGGGCTGAGTGGACGGGGCCAACAGAAATCGGTCCAGAGGTCAGAGCTGCCTGCTTCTGTCCATGCACGCTGTGACATGACACCCTTGTCCCCACCCTTGTCCCCATCATATGCCTCACAGCCTCCACTAAGCCCTCATGCCTTGGCTACCCTCATGTCCCCTCCAGATCTCCAGGCTCCCCACAGAGCCTTCAGCCCCCACGTTATTCATCATCTCCAGGCAGCTCGCTTTCCTTCATTCAAGCCACAAACCCCTACCTTCCCCGCAGCTTCCCACTGCCCCTGGAATCTCTCTTTTACCCACATTATCCTATACTGCAAACATAAGCCTTCCCCAAATATCCATGCCCCGATTTCATTCAATAAAACTTCCATATCCATTATATGCCAAGAGAAAACACTTGCTCTGCACAAGGCAGTTTTCAAAACCCTTCGCAGGTAAATAACTCCATGTAACCTCACAGTCAGCCTCTGAGGTGGGGGGAAGCATGATTTCCACTTTACAGGCGACGAGATGAAGGCACAGAAATGTTGAGTAATTTGCCTAAGGTCACACAACGAGCAATTTTCTTCAAAAATACCCAAGACAGTACCTGGGTGACTGCAGTAGTAATACTCCGCACTCCACTGCCCCCAGTACCTCCAGCACATAGACACATCTGCCCCAAATTCACCATGAGAGGTACGTGAACAGCTCACCGCCAGCATTCACTCCCCCCGTGCCTGAAATTTATCCCAGGCGGTTCCCGTGGCACAACCACAACGAGTAGCATTTACTGAACCACTGCTGAAGGCCAGACGACCTTCCGAGCACTTTACCGTTTATTTATCCACTTCATCCTCACAACACCCCTGGCGGGGGTTGACTGTTATTGTTTGCACTTTATAGATGAGGAAACTGAGGCATGGAAGTACACCTTGCTCTAGATCACACCAGCCAGAAAAGTGACAAAGTCAAGATCCGAATTCCCCACAGGGAAGTCATGCACCCCAATAACGCCTAAACCCCGCTGGATCACCACGCCACTGCCTCTGTCCCTCCCTCTCCAGTGTCCCAGCCCTGTACATGCTCCTCTCCATCCCCACGCTCATGACATTCTCACGCAGCCCCTGGCTTGGGGTGATGTTTCCCTCTTCCCACCACACTCTCCTCCGACTCCCCAACTGCTCTCTTGCTCCGACAGCTTCCCAACACACCACACGCCCTTTCCCTATTCCTGAAGGCCCCTCATCTTTCTAGACCTTACTCCCTGCTCCTCTGGGTCATCTGGGAGCTGCACAGCGCCCTAAACTGCCTCCTTAGCCCCCGCTTCTGCAAGCCCACCCCACCCCCACAGGGCCACCCCACCACTCCCCACTTTGCCCTTGCAAACTGCCCATTCCGGAAGTGTCCTTCCCAGACTTCTGCGACCTCCCACCTCTCTCTTGCCACTCTCCTCCCCTCGTCCAACCCTCCCTTGTGCTCCACATCTTTGCTCACAGGCCCCCGAGTCCCCTGCACACCCAGCTCCCGTCCTGCTCCCTAGGCCCCTGCGTACTCCGGGGAAGCCTCCTCCTACTTTGCACCCTCAACTCACTTCCTCAGGCACACGCACCCCACCCCCACCTCCTTTGCCTTGCGGCTGCATTTCATTCTCTTCCCTGCACCCTCTCTGCTCTTCTCGGTACTGCCCGAGTCTCCACCCCCAAGTCCTCCCCGCATTTCCTGCACTCCCTCCTTACCCCATGTCTCTGTGCACCCCACGCACCCTCAGTGCTCCGGCATGCCGCGGTCCCCACTTCAGTATCCCTGCTCTCCCCTGTCCTGTTCTCAGCCCACACCCTCCTGCCCAGACCCTCTAACCCCACCCTGCCCCAGTACTTGCTACCCACGCGGCACCCCGTTCGGGCTCCACACTGCTAACTACCTGCCCTGCGGGAGCGTGCACAGTGTTCGCCCCCAGGCCATCCCTCTGCGACCCTGGGCTGCCTCTGACGCTCAGCAGCCAGCCCTTGTTCACCGGAGCCCACACTCAGGGAACTGCAGCAGCGTCCGCCCCCCCTCCCCCAAGGTCCCTCTCACACACCCAGAATCCCACAGCCCAGCTCCTGCTGCTGCACATGGTGCCCCCTCTGGTACTCAACCCCTCCCTGTGTACCCATCTCCACGGGCCTCTCCCCGGCCTGCACAGAGGCCCCCACGGGGGGAAGCCAGCCCCCTCCCATGCTGAGAAGTGGCACACACAGGCAGATGCAGCTCCCCATGCAGAAGCTCAGCTGTGGCTCAGCACACGTGCCCCACACAGGCACAGACCCCCTGGGAGCAGGGAGAGGGGCACTTGGGGACAGACACACAGAGGGACTGACGGTGGGGGGGTGGGGCTGTGGGGAAGGGAACAGGCCTGGCACGGGAGGGTGGGTGTTGGGAAACACAGCCGCAATCCCTGGGACAGACCCACTCCATCACACACACACACACACACACACACACACACACACACACACTGTCCCCAGACAGCCTCTATTGCTCCAAGTCACACACGGAGACAGACGCTGTCACACAGGGACACACAGATGGACACAGCTGGGGGGTGGGCTCGGGGCCCACCATCTCTTCATCATGCCTCTCCCTCTCTCACACACAAACATGCGGCTGCAGGCAGTCACACACACGCATGCACACTGACACACACACAGTCGCACAGTGACACGCAGCGGAAAAAGAGGAGGGGAAGGGAGGCCGGGGGCGGGATGCGTGTGTGATGGAGGGGGGACTGACTGTGAATGGGAGAGAGGGGTATGAATGGGGGGACCTTCCAACTCTGTGAAGGGGGTGTGGGGACTCGGGGATCAGAGGAATGGGGCCGGGGGTGTAGGAGCCTGAGGGGGGCCGCGGTGGCTTCCCACGGGAAGGGACCCACAGAGTGGGGGGGCTAAGGGCGGCAGAAAGGGGGAGTGGGCTCCATACCGCTCAGTGGGGTGCGTTTGGAGGGCCTGAGAGGGTGAGGTCTTAGAGGAAGAGCTGAGGGGGGCCTGGAAGGGCCTCTGAGGGGGTGGGGGTGACATTCCTGGGCTGAGGAGTGCGTGCGTGTTGGGGGCGCAGGCTCACGGAGAACGGCCCAGGGAGGCGGATGCGAGCAGAGGGTTGAGAAGAGGGGTCCGGAAGGGTTTAGCGCAGAGACAACGTGACGGGAGAGGGGCGGAGTGGGGGCTGGGGGGAGGAGTCCCAGGGGTGGGGGCTAAGCGCCGGAGGGTCGTCACAGCGGCCCGGGGCCTCCGGCCCGGCCTCGAGAAGAAGGGGCGGCGCGCTCCGTTACCTGTAGATGTACCAGACGCTGCGCCGCCGGGGCCCCAGGGCCGGCCAGCTGGAGGAGAGCGCGGGGGGCGGCTGCGGCAGGGAGCCCCCGCCGGGGCCGCCCCCGAGACCCCCGCCGCCGCCGACCGCAGACAAAGCCATCGCCGCCGCGGCCCTGGCCCCGGCCCGGGTCCCGGTGCCGGCCGCCCCCGCCGCCGCCGCCGCCGCCGCGTCCCCGTCCCCGCTCGGCCGAACCCCCGTGTCCGGGCCCCCAGGCCCCGCCTCATGCTGACCCGCGCCGGGAGGGGGAAAGGGGAGGGGGCGCGCACCCTCCCGCGGGAGGGCGGGCAGGGCCGGGGGCTCACATGCCAGGGGGCGCGGGGACGCGGGGCGCGGGGTCGGGCCGCGGCGGGAGCGCGAGGACCGCGGACGGCGCCGGCTTCAGCACCGCGGACAGCTCCGGAGGCGGTGGCGGCGGGCGCGAGGCTTAACCCCTTGGCGTCCTGCGCCGGGAGGCGGAGGGGCCGGGCAGGGGGTGGGGGCGGGGGCGGGAGGGGAACGCGGGGCCCCCCTTGGCGGGAGAGGGGGGAGGGGCGAGGCTCGGGGGGAGGAAAGGGAGGCACTTCCGGTCTGCCCCCCTTAACCCCCTCCCCCCCAGAGCCCTCCCGCGCAGGTGCAGAGCGAGGGAGCGCGGGGAGAGAGACGCACAACATCACACAAGATGCCTCGCAACCGCGTGCAGGGACGCGCGGACCAAGCCTCACTCTGGAGGGGACACCACGGTGAGAGAGGCCCCAGGAGGGGACTCACAGCCCCCCACCGCAAACCGACACGCGACGCACCCCAACGCAGTCTTAAGGGCGGGAAAGGAAGGCCGGGTTATTCGACTGGGCCCTAGGGCAGTGAGAGGTAACCCTCCAGCAAAGAAGCCCAGCTGCACACACTCTACAGCTCCCAGGAACCATAGACCCCCAGGAAGAGGAGAGAGGGTGGCACAGGCTGGGAGGGTAGCACATGGCAGGACTCACAGCCCCAGCAGGGATGCAGCGCGCAAAACACAGGCCAGGTCACCCCAGACAGGGTCAGGTAGAGCAGGGTGGGTGGCAGGAGAGGCTAGACACACCACACACGGAGCAGCACATGCCACGGGGCACAGGAGGGGAGGAGAAGGGGAGGGGATGCACTTCACAAGACATCTGAGGTCAGGAGGGACCACCCCATCCAGCTGGTAGATCAAGTGACCCTCGGACCAAGGCCAAGGAGAGACCCAGAGAGACACTGTCAGAGATAAGAAGCAGAGGCTGATGGGAGACTTGGGGTGGGGGGGACCTTGATACTCACCCGGTGCCCAGGGCCGGAGACGTGCCAGGTGAACACGCACAATGGTCAAGCGCCTCAGACACTCCGGGCGCGGGGTGGCACCCCAACTCCACCCTTTTCCCCATGCTGTCATTTCTCTCCTTCCCAATCCCCAACCCATCCCCACTGGCCAGAACACAGACACATAGGTTTGGACACATTTAATGGAAGGATGTGACAAACAAAGGAGACCCTTCTCTGGGGGTGGGGAGAGGGGGGAAATGTCATCTTTCAGACACACAATTATGACCATTCTTCCCCCACAGCCTTGCCCTTCTGGAAGCCCAAGCCCTTGAGTCCTTCCCTCTTCTCCCTCCCCTCCCCCAACACCCCAGGTCCTGAATTCCAAATCTATCAGACAGATACAAATGCATGCACACAATTCTAAGTGCTAATATGCACACTCGGTAACATGCACAGAGGGGCACAGACGTGTGCAGAAACCCACCTGTCCATACATGATAAGCAGACACACTGACATCTCTGAGAACACTTGCCCTCATTCTTAGACACACAGATTCCGGGACACATAGGTATGCAGAGCCAGCCGCATGATTAGCCATAATCGTGCACCCATAAATGGAAACCACAAATGCATTCATCTTTACACAGTGAGTGGCACAGGCCCTTCTGCTGTCATGGGCGTATACACAGGGCTATACATCTAGAGGCTTCCAGCCACACATGCACACAGTCACATGTCATGCGCACCTACAGAGACACATGGGCAAGAATACACCATTGGGGAATCCGTACAAGGACGCTCGCCAGTGTAAGACGTTCACGCACAGGGAAATTTCATCTCTGGTCGTGCACACGCACACGTCCACACACCCCCAGGCACCCCTTCCTTCCCATTCCTGACCCCGTGCCCTCCCTTCCCCTCCCCTCTCACCTCCCTGGGCCAATCCCATCCATCAAGCTTCTGAAGCAAGTCAGCCAGCAGGCAGGGAGGGGAAAGGTGTCAGTGTGCCCCTCTGCCCGCCCCCACCCTGCCTGGCCTGGCTCTGCCCACCAACACCCCCACCCCCAACACCAGTGTGAGGCATGGGATGCATACACTTCCACTGCACAGGACTGCACAGAGATGGGGCACATGAAGGAGACAAGGGCCTCCAGGCAGCCATACACACGAGCTCCTGGGGCACCGGGGCATCCCCCAAGGCCCCATCCACTGGGCAGTCTCCGTGGCTGCCAAGAGTGGTTTGGGACTGGGCTGTGTGGGCTGAAGGTAACTCTGCCTTACCCCATCCCTGGACCAAACTTTAGGGGGAGCAGAAAGGGGGGTTAGAGGTGGCAGAAATACTTAAAGGTAAAGTATTAAGAGAGGTTGGGGTGGGGGGGCACCCGAGGGTGTATGGACATTTACCTTGGGGCATCAAAGCTGTCGTAGGAGCCCACCGTATAATGCCGGAAGAGTCTCTTTGCCTTGTCACTGCGGCTTTCTGCAGGGGGACAAGGGATGACCTTGGACCCTCACTCAAAATCACAAGCCCATCCCTTAGGGGGCCTGGCCCAAGTCCTCCCATCTACCTCCCAGCACCCCCACCCCATCAGGAAAGCCCATGAAAACTCTTGGGTAAATCAAGGAATGCTGGGGAGTCCTCATTACCTTGCTTTCCTTCCTGGGAGCGGTTCGCCACCTCCTCCAGGCAGTCAGAGGGGAACCAGCCAACACGACCTTTGACCTGGCCTTCCCAGAAGCCTCCTTCCCCGATGCTAAGCACTGAGTGGGGAGCAGGGACACAGAAACATTTCTATATTTACATGCTGCCCCCACAGCCCTCCCGCCCTGCCTCTAACACACTCAATGCATGGCCTTCCCACCATGCCCCGAACCTAACACAGGGCCTGGCCTAACACGGGGCCCATGCCCCGAACCTAACACATGGGCATCCTTAATAAATGTCCATCGGGGTGGGGGCAGGGAGAACCAGATCATGTCATGCCTTCGTTCCAGCTTTCTGGATCCAATGGGGACATCAAGAGGCACTGGAGAATGGGCTGTGCCTGTGACATGGTCCTCACAGGTTAGGGACACATCCACAACTGGCCCTCATCCACCCTAGTAAATGGGTCATAGCTCAGTTTTGTAATTTCCCTAAACCCTCCTAGCTAGGTTCCTAGACCAAGTTCTATACCCTCATCATTGCCCCTCCTACCTCCCTTAGCCTCTGCCACCTAATCTGTGTCGTTTGCTCCCAGACCCTTCCCTCTGCCCCTCTGTGCTTCCTTGGCTCTAGAAGAGAGAAGGGATTAAAATCAGCTTTTCCTTCTCTCCACCACCCCTCCCTGAAGGCCCCTTATTGCTGGCCTCACCTTTGGGCCCTGTAGCTAAGATTTTCCGACTGCCTGCCCTGTGCCTGATGCTGCCGTACTTAGAACTGAAGAACTAAGATAGGTGACAGGCACAGCTAATGTTTATCCAGAGCTCACTTGGGACCAGAACCCTAAGAACCACTTTTATTACTCCCACCATTTTACTGATGAGAAAGCTGAGGCTCAGAGGGCCCAGGCATTTGCTCAAGGTATGTGGCTTATAACTGACAGAGTCTGCATTCGAACACAGCTCTGTTTCCAGAGCAAATGCTTTAGTCGCTAAGGTTTCATCAGTCAGGGTTGCTGCTGATTCTGACGATGATCACAGCAGCGGGACAAGCCCACCACATTCCGTCTCCCCAGCATTGTTCAGGGCTCTGTCCCTACCCAGGCCTGCACATCTTTCCTCCCTCAACCCTCACGCCAGCCCGGGTGGGTAACAACCGAGATCCCATTTTATAGATGAAGAAGCAAAAACTAAAGTAGCCAAGTCCCTTCCCCAGAGGTGGCTGGAGCCGAGCTAAGATGTGAGATAGGGCCATCTGATGCTTTCCCCACACAAACCGCCTCCCTTGAGAGGATCTAGGGGAAACCAAATCAAGGAGATGCTCCAGGTCATGGAAGGGCGCAGGAGAGGGTCTGGGCTCATGACTGCTCTGCCATGCCTGGCTGGGTGGTCTTCGAATTGATCATTTGTTCACTGAACAAGTATTTATTTAGTGCCGATCATGAGGTATACATCAGGTACAGTTGTTGGGCACAGCAGACGTGGTCACTGCACTCGGGGAGTGTCCACACTGGACATTATTAGAGGAGCAACTGGACAAATGACCGCATGATTGGAAATTGAGGTCAGCGCTCAAGGTGAAAAGGACAGGGTATCAGGAGACGGGCCAGGTGGGAGTACCTAAGTTCGATGGCAAAGGGGGACCAGGCTGGCGCTCTGGAGGATGTGACATATAGGCTGAGACCTCAAGGGTCCTAGGGTTAGAAGAGGCAAATAGAGGAAGGGAAGGTTGTCCAGGCAGAAGGACTGGCATAGCACGGAGCTTGGTGTGGGAAAGGGCTCGGGGCATTTGTGGGACAGAGAGAAGGATGGGGTCCCTGGAGAGGGAAAGAGTGCCGCAAGCTGAGGTTAGTGGCAGGCTGGGGAGGCCCTTGCAGGCCAGGCTAAGGCACTGGGCCTTGATCCCCAGAGCAGAGGGAAGCTGCTACCTCGTGGGCTGTGGCAACCTCGGTGACATCGTGGAGGTGGGTGTGCTCTGAGGCAATTTGGTGTCTGTGAAAGGGAAGGCTAGACAGGGAAGTCCGTGGAAGTATCGGGCTTGAAGTTCGGAAAGGCACATGGGAGATACCCCCAGGGTCCTCTGCTTGCCTGAAGGTCCCTCACTCCTGGCAAAGCACAGACCTGGTCCCCACACAGGTGTACACACGCAGATCTGCACACACACTGCCCTGGCCTCCGCAGTCAGCTCCCAAATCTGGCCATTCATTAATTCATTCACTCAGCAGACGTGCATTGAGGCCTCATATGTGCTGGGTCATTAAACTCTGCCCTGGTAACCCAGAGACCAGTGACATGTGACCTTGCCTTCAGGAGCGGAGGCAATGGGAAGGAAGACTACAAAACACAACTCTCCTGATGTTCTGACCCTTACAGACCCTCCAAGACCCCAAACTCTGACTCCCCTGGGAGGAACCCCGGAACCTCTCTCCTTCAAGGCAGCTGGAGTCTCTCCCCTCTAAGTGCCTGTAGCAGGGGACCGCTTATGATTCCGATGGCTGGCACCGATCATGTACAAATCATTGTTCCAGCTTTACGTGAGCTGACTCTTGTAATCCTCACAAAGACCCCATTTTACAAATGAGGAAACCGAGGCCCAGAGACATCACTTGCCTACGGTCACCCAGGTAGGAAGTGGTGGAGCCAGGATTTGAACCCAGGCATCCTGGCTCCCATCTGCTCAGCTCCTCTGCAGCCTAGAGTGGGGCAAAGACCTGCTCTCTGCCTCGTGTTGACAACCACGTCTGCAGCTGCTTCGCCAGCCCTGAAGCATCATTCTACCCAAGAACACCCATCACCAGCCCTGCCATGTCTGCACGTGGGGGCTCCCGGAGTCGTTTTCCAGATGAAGACAGGAAAACCGAAGGAGACAAACCCTGAAAACAGCTGCTGCCGCTGAGGGAGCCCCAGGCATGGACCCGGCTTTGCAGAGCCCCACGAGGTAGGCACCACCCCGTTTCTCGGATGAGAGCATATGGTAGAGGGTGGAAGTGAAGTCAAGGAGGTTTGGCTTCGCACTCTGCCCAAGGCGGGCGGAAAGGCAGTGGGCTCAGAGCAGGAACCTGGGGCAAGTCACCTCACCTGTGTGAGGCTCGGCTTCTTCACCTGTACTCAGGGCTCCTGACACCCTCCGACGGACAACCAACCAGGAGCGAGGTGAGACCCACTGAGTGCCCCATGTGGTGCTGGTGGCCCCAAATGCTGCTCACTTCCTCATTTTTGGCTCAACACCGCCCCTTGACAGCCCCATGTCAGCTGCACTCTGCTCTCCGAGGCAGAAGGGGCGCGTCTAGGGCTCCCTCAAGTCTCCAAAGGGCCTGGGACGTCCTAGGGGCTCCAGGACTGTTTGTCACTGTCCTGTCCCCTCCCGAAGGGGCGAGCTCCCCGGCCCGGCCCCGCCCACAGCCCCACCCCCTTACCTTTGATTTTCTCTCCCTTGCTTAGGGAGATCTCCCCCTCGGCCTGGGCCTGGTAGGACTTCACAGCCATGAAGGAGCGCCCGGGGACCGCTGAGTAGAGCTTCCTGCGCCTCCCGCGGCTGCCCAGGGAGCCCCCAGGGCCCCCCGAGCCCCCCGTGCCCCCGGCCGGCCCTTCCCGGGGCGTCCCGCTGGAGCTGCGCACACAGAGGGTGTGAGAGGCAGAGGAGAGTGGGGGGAGGGGCACCTCTGGGAGAACAGGGGTCCTTGGGGGGGAAGATGGAGCACGGGGTGGGGGAGGGGTTTCAGTGGGCTTCCAGCTCTGGCATCCTGGGGGAAGAGGGGACCGGGAGCTCCCTCTGCCTGCCTGCTGCTGTCCCCCAGCCCACCCTTCTGCCTCCTGCCTTCCAGCTGTGCCCCTCCTGTTCCTGAAAGTTTGCCTGACTCAGCTTCCTGAAGCTGAGCTCCAAAACCTGTCATTCCTCAGCTCAGGAGCCTTTGGTGACTCCCAGCTTCCTCCCGGGCTGGGTCCAACTCTACCCGCCATTTCCAGCTCGCCATGAGCTTCCCCACTCCCACGTCCTCAGGGCCAGCCTGGCCTCCTTACTCCAGAATGGCCCCTGCCCTCCTCCCCTCTGCCCCAGAGTGGCCCCTCTGCTCCTCCTCCCCACTCTCTCTTCCTCTGGTCTCTTTTCCAAGCTGGGACACCCCTCCCCAAGTCCCTCACCAGCATTTGGGGAGGGGTGTGGGGCTCATGATGCCCTCTGTTCCTCGAGGGTCCGGAGAGAGATTTGGAGGCCCGAGGTTGGGACTGGGACTTGGATGGATGGGGGACCAGCCATATGCAGACAGGAGGTGGACAGCTGGCCTGGCCTGGCCTGGTTGGGGGACTGAGGCTCCAGGGAGCGGATTCTGTTGGGTTGGGGTCTGTGGGACTTGGGCTGGGCCCTCCCCTACCTGGGCCGTCCACGGGGCTGCCTCTTGGCTTCCTCGGGGTGCCTTCCACGGGATGGGGAGCGGGCTCGGGCTCCCCGGGGACTGCTGGCACTTCGGAGGGTCCCGCTGCTGAGCTTGGTGCTGGGGGCCGAGGGCTGCGACTGGCCCTGGGGCCCTGAGGTAGGACCAGGAGCCCCAGAGGATGAGGTCCCCGGGGCGGCGAACACCATCCAGTCGGGAAGGGCCATGCTGGTATCACTGTTGGCCCGCAGCAGAGCCGGGGGCACTGTCAGCCCTGCACCTGGGGGTCCCCGTCGCCGGGCCGCGTACTTGGGGGACTCCTGGAAGGGCACTGAGAGGGCGCAGTGGCAGGAAGAGGCAGGTAGAGGAAGATGGAGGCCAGAGACAGGGGAGAGGCAGGAAGGGAGAAAGAGAGATGAGAGAGTGAGGGCCTGGGATGGGCCCCCTACCTCTCCTCAGAAGCTCACGGTCCTCCAAGATTGCTTCGGGCTCATCTTGACACCCACATCAGGTCGGAGGACTCCCTGGCCCCACCCCACACCCCCAAGTGCCCCAGCATGTCCCCTAGCCCAGCTCCCGCAGCTCACCCACGTCCTGCTCTCGATGGTTCCGGATGAGCTCCCCCAGTTCAAAATTCCCAGCGATCACTGCCACCTGGGGGTGGGGGTGGGGGTGGGCAGGGAGGTGAGGTGGCTCAGGGGCAGCCACAGGGAGAGACAGACCACAGGGCAGGACGAACTGTGGGGTCCCGGCCGGCTGACCCACCCCCGCCCTCCCCTTCTCCCAGCCTGTCCCCCAGCACCCCCAGCTGCCCACTTCCCTTCCCCCCTCCAAGAACGTCCTCCCCACTGGACCCCACGGCCCCAGACCTGGAAGGGCGTCTGTCCATTGTTGTTCTTCACGTCTTTGTTGGCCCCCCGATAGAGGAGGATCCTAGCACAGGTCTCCTGAGGGTGACGGCCCGTGGCACAGGGAGCAAGGAAAAGAGGACACCTTCACCACGAGTGGGCACGGGCTCTGCTGGCGATCTCGGCAGCAACCTGCTCTGAGCCGCCCGCCCAGGACGGCGGCCATTTGCCACCTGGGGCGCCTGAGCCCTTGCAGCGTGGCCGGTCTGAACTGAGGTGTGCTGTGCATGTAAAACACACACCAGATTTTAAAGCCTTAGCCTGATAAAAAGTAATTTAAATATCTCTAATAATTCTTAGACCGATCATGTGTTGGAATGATAACATTTTGGATACAATGGGTTAAGTAAAATATGCTACTCACCCAAGTGTCACTTGTTTCTTTTTTCCATTTTTTAAAATGCAGCTCCTGGCATGTTTAAAATTACACCTGGGCTCCCATCATATCCTGCTGCACTACAGACATTTGGGGCTGGGTAGTTCTTTGTAGTGGGGGCCGTACTTAGCAGCATCCCTGGGCTCTACCACTAGATGCCAGTAGCACTCCCTCCGAAGTCCTGACAACCAAGAATGTCTGCAGACATTGCCAAATGTCCCCCCCGGGGGCCAGAAGCATCCAGTCAAGAGCCACCAAGCTAAACCTCTTGGAGAACTTACTGAGGTGCTCGCCAGGTGCCCAGCACTTTAGAGGCAGAAGCTCCAAAGTGAATCACCCAATGTCATATGATGGAAATTATTGTCTCCATTTTACAGACGAGGGAACTAAGGCTTAAAAGGAAGCTCAAGGTCACACAGCTGTCGACTTATCACCGCTTGGATTCTAAACCAGGTCTGTCGGACCCTAGAGCTCCTACTCTTAATCGCATACTCTGCTAGAACCAGAAGGAAGGGGGGCAGTGGGGACCAGGGCTGGGCAGCGGGGGAAGGCAGGCCATTCACACCAGATCGATTCCTTACCAATGTCAGCCACAACATGTCACTCAATCCCAGTCTTTGGATCAAACCCAATATCCTTGCCATCCTAGGACCCCACCTGATCTGCCCACCCTACTGCCCCCAGCCTCACCAGCTTCATCTTCTACCACCTTCCCTCACTCCCCATACTGCAGCCTCCTCCTTCCTCTTGCCCCAGGGCCTTTGCACCTGCTGCCCCCTCACTTAGAGTTCTCTGTCCCTAGGTCTCCCTAGGGCTCACTTTCTCACTTTATTCAGGTTCTTGCTCAAGTGTCACCTCTTCAGAGAGGGCTGACCACCCTGTCGAAAATAACCCCCGTTCCCTTTATTTTTACTTATTCATTTCCATTTATATGAAGCCTGCTATGTACCATGCATTCTTTTAAGCCAGTACCAATCATTTTCTCCCTGAAATTGCATTTCTATTATACTTGACTCTTTCAGGTCTCTCTCCCACTATATCGTAAGTTTCACGGGGCCACGATTGTGGCACCATCACCTAGACTAGTGGGTGGTTCATAGCAGCTGCTGAATAAACAGCTGCTGAAGGAGAATGTCCTCATCTGGTGTCCTGGCCTGGCCAGACCCAACCTGGCCCCCAGCCCAACTCCTCTCCAGCTCCCCCTGATGTGAATTTAATCAGCATTCACCAAGCACCTCCTTGCGCTGACCCTCTGCATGTGACAAATCCACCAAGGATGCTCGTATGGACCCCATCCTACAGGACAACCTCAGAGAGGGCTAACTGATGCCCCAGGTCACACAGCCAGTGAGTGCAGCAGCTAGGACTCAAACCTGACTGTCTAATCCTAGTACTCATCTATTTTCTGGGAATGCACAACTCCAATTGCCAAAGTCAGTCACTGGAAAACAAAGATAGCCCAGTGAGTTTTCTGGGTGTGTTTGTGGGTGTGAGTGCATGTGTGTCTGTGTGTGCACATGCTGGGCCCCCCCAACTACAAAACTGCCAAACTACTGTCCTATGTGTGTTTGCCTGTCTGCACGCCCCCACCACTGCCTTGCCTAGCACAGGACCAGAGCATCTCCACCAGCTACCGGCTCTCAAGAACCTTGAATTTACTGGTGTCCTAGCACTTATCTCACAGTATTGCAACTATTTGTTTACACATCTGCCTCTTCGCCAGACTGTGAACTCCCCCCACCCTCCCCAGGGTAGGCACTGTGCTGTGCTTGGTTCACATCTCACATACAGGTACACAGTAGGTGCTCAAGAAATGTGCACGGAAGGGATGAGGATGGAGGATGTCAAGCTGAGTCATTTGAAATTCATTTGTTCATGTCATTCATTCATCAAGTCATTCAACCTGGAAGCAAGCATCTGTTAAATGTTCTGAGCTGGACTGTACAGTCTTGGGGGAAATCCAAGGTGACTGAATAAATTCATTCATTCACTCACAGACTCATTCAACAAAGATGCATCTAGGCCTACTATATGCTGGGGCCTTGGGACAGAGTGATCAATCAGACTTAGCCCCCATCCTCGAGGAGCTCAAGGAGGGAGAAATGACTGGCTAATCTAACAGCCTAGACCTGGACCTGACCTTCACCACTGGGGACTAGAAGGGCATGCCAGGGGGCAGGGGGAGCAGAGAGCCAGGAAATCTGTCAGACCCAGCTCTGGCCCTTGGAAAGCTTAAAGCCTGGGAGGGAAGAGAAGAGGAAAGAAGTGGGGGAAAAAAAGGCACATTTGTGAAGCACCTATTTGTCAAGCCCCATGCCCAGTTGGCATTCACCAAGCCCAGGTCATGCCTCTACTTGATCCTTTGCACAATAGGTATTACTAACCCACTTCACAGATGAGAACGGGGAAGCTCAAGGAGGGAGAAATGACTGGCTCATCTAACCAGCTAAGAGTAATTGTTCTCACTATATAACTCTTCATACTGAATTTTCCCTGTTCAAATTAACGGTATGGCTTCTGTTTCCTGACTGGGTCCTGACTGATAACGATAGTGATAATGACAATAATAATTAGTATGATAGCCGCCTTCGAGGGATGAGCACTTAATATACATGATCCTTCATCCCCTTCAATCAGCTGACGTTATTGCCAGTTCAGGGAGAGGACGGAGCCTCAGAGAGGGGCAGGGGCTTGACTGGGAGGCCTTGGTCTGCCCACAGGCCATGCAGTCAGGGAATCCAGGTGCAAGGCTGTGTCAGGGAGCAGGAGAGCCTGGGGAGGGGAAGTGACAGCAGGGTGTTGGTTGCATTTGACAACACTGAGCTCTCCCTCGGCAGAGCAGGCTGCTTGCTCCACAAGGTGGCACGTGGCTGCCTGCCACATCTCCCAGGCACTGCAAGTTCTAATGAGGCAGAAGGGGCTGGGGCTGTCTTGGAAGCCTTCCTGGAGGAGGCCTGAAGGGCAGACGAACTGGCAGCAGCATGCCAGGCCCTGTCCTCCCCAGTCCCTGAAGCAACCCTACAAGAGTGGGGGCTTTGGGAGACAGCAGGGGCGACTGAGGTGCCGAGAGGGCTGACCTGGCGCACGGGTGGTAAAGGGGCAGAGATGCTCAGGCGGAAGGCCGGAGGGTCACCACAGCACAGGCAGAGCGGCCAGGTGAGACCCTGAGGCCCCCTGCTTGCTTTTCACTGTTAACCTCTTGCAACTCCTCAGGTGGGGGCCCTATGCCCAGCCCTGAAATGCTAAAACTTGCCACACATTCTTGTCCTCTCCAGGGCTGTGGTTTGGCCTTTCCTCTGTCCCCTGCAGTGTCCCCAGGTGCACAGGTGCACGGTAGGTGCTCCACTGGCAGCTGAATGAAGATGCCCAGGAAACAGAACCACACAGCCCCTTGGCCTCCAGTAACAGTCCTGACTTTCCCCGCTGGGTTTTGCACAGGCTGTGATCTCGGCCTGGGACACCCTTCTCTCTCTTCTACTTGGCCAACTCCTGCTCATCTTACCGCAGGTGGCACATCATCCGGAGAGCCACCGCTACCCCACCTGCAACTCTGAGCCCAGATCTGGGCTCCCACAGGGACCCGGACTCCCTGTGATGTCCCTCTGAACACAGCCCCGGATGGAGAGGCTTGCTCAATACTTGCTCAGGGTCTGACACAGAAGAGCTGCTGGGTAAATAGTTGTTCAATGAATGAACGAATGAATGAATGAATGAAGCAGTGAAGGAGCAGAGGGCACAGGGAGGCTGGATGCAGGAGGAGGGTCTGGGCAGACGCTGCAGGGCAGACCTTGTTGTAGAGGGCACAGATGTGCAGCGCCGTGTTCCCCGAGGCGTTCTGGGCGCCGGGCTCAGCCCCGTAGAAGAGCAGGTGCTCCAGGTGCTGGGAGTTACCCCGCTGGCAGGCCTGGGGAGGAACGGGGCCAAGCAGGCCAGTCAGCCCCTCCTGACCATGGCGTCTGTCTGTGGCCCTCTCCTCAAGGCTAGGAAGCCCCTCAGCCACTCCCCTTCTCCTTTCAGCCCTCGTTCCTGCTTAGGGGCCCAGGCTGTCGACTTCACGACTCATTCCAAGGCCCAGGTGTCTGGCCTGTTCCCCGGATAGATCCAAGACACAACCCCATCCATCTCAGGGATCAAGGTGTTCAGCCCCCAACCCACGCCCCCTTGGGGCCCCGCTGTCCGTATCCCTATCTTTTCCTCTTTGGGGACCATGCTGCTCCAACTCCCACCCTCTGTGAGGATCCCAATGTCTGGTTCTACAGCCCCTTGGGCCAGGGTCCCTGCTCCCTGTCCCTGCGAGGGCCAGGCACACTCCCCACCCCACCTCCAGTCCCTCCCAGCTGTTGGGAGGCTGCACCTGGTGGATCTCCTGCCAGCCGTTCTCGTCAGCTATGCCCAGCTGGGCCCTGTTGAACAGCAGCAGTTCACAGCAGCGGGGGTCACCCCCCACCATAGCCGTGTGGAACAGAGGTGTCAGGCCCCGGCGGTCCTTGTAGTTGGGGGAGCCCCCGAGGTCTAGGAGCGCCTAGGAAGGGAGAAAAGGCAGATG